AACGGTCTGTTTGTCGATGTGATATTCATAGATTTTAGCAAAGCATTTGACAAGGTTTCGCTTAGGTCTTATGCAGAAGCTCACGAGCTTCGGTATAATAGGTTCTGTACAGGAGTGGATAGGAAACTTCTTATGCGACTGAAGACAGAGAGTAAGGGTCAATGGGACGCTATCTGATCCGAAGACGGTCAAAAGTGGTGTACCCCAAGGCACCATCTTAGGCCCTCTGCTCTTCCTTCTCTACGTTAATGAGTTACCGCTGTTACTTAGGTCGTCGACATTATTGTTTGCGGATGATGTAAAAATCTGGAGAACAATAAAAAGTGCGGCTGATCATGTGGATCTTCAAGCTGACTTAGACGATTTAGTTAGATGGGCTCGAGAGTGGGGCTAGAAATCAATGCTAGGAAGAGTGTGCTAATGCACATCGGTCACGGTAATAGTTACCGTTACACTATTGAGGGTAAACCTCTTCCATGCGTTCAAGAGCATAAAGACTTAGAAGTAGTATTAAGTCATGATATAAAAAACTATGCATTGCAAAGCAGCCGCTGTCAAAGGTTTTCGTGCGTTATGGTCACTTCGCCGAGCGTTCAAATCTTTTGACGAGGAAACGTTTCGAATTTTATATCCCATATATGTTAGACCACATTTAGAGTACTGTATCCAAGCAGCTAGCCCGTGTCTGGTAAAGGATACTAACTCCCTTGAGCGTGTCCAGCGTGTGGGAACGAAATTAGTGAAGGGCTTTCTAGACTTCCTTACGATGAGCGTTTAAAACGCCTAAATCTTTTCCCCTTGTCGTATCGTAGGACACGAGGTGACCTTATACTGGCATTTCGTATCTTTAATTATGGTTTGGGTGTCAATATGTCTTATCTTTTTGCTGCCTCCAGCACTAATAGTCTCCGAAGTCATAGCAAGAAGGTTCATAAACCACAATCTAATAAACTTAAAGTGAGGTCCCGTTTTTCTCACCGAGTAGTCAATCATTGGATCGCCTTACCCGAACAAGAGGTATCAGCCTTATCAGTGAATACTCTCAAGGAGAAGCTGAACCTTCACTGGAAAGCAGTGTGTCAGGATTAATACAGGCTCACCAACCTACTATTCTTATTACTGAAGAATGAATACTGGTATTGAATTTCGAAGAGGGTCGTTTTTGGGCGCATATTTAGATCGTCTAGGCCGAACCTTTGTTGAGTTTAGCTTATCTTGGACTTCGTTGACTAAATTCTTGTTATCCAGTGAGTATATTGATATTGGAGATCTTTGTGGTGAGACTATAATTAACGGACGACCTTTGAGCGACTCCAGGCTGACCTTGTGAGTGTCCACCTAATAACCAGAACCAAATGAGGGTTATAAACATGTATGAGGAATTAGAATTACAATTTACAGCTGATGATTAAGGTTAAGAATTAGATTTTGGTTTTTCATCATGAACTGAATTCAAATATAGTGCCAAAACTATTTATCCGGATGAATGAGGGAATTTCGCGCCAAAATCCGAGACCTGTTATCTTATACGTGATTGGTTCGTTCATAGATCATAGTCTCGCCAGATTTACATGTTTGAAAAGTCTATTGAGCCAGTTAAATGTCATTCAGTCACACAAGCTGTCGACTTCCTAATACAGAGAACTGATACTATCTCTGGAAAACTAGAAACGAAACTTTCAGACACTTTTTCTTTTTTCTCACTTTGTGTTTCTTTTGATATGTCGGGCAACCATGTATTCACTTGTCTCCCGCGTGGTAATTACGTATTAAAAGAATATTGCAACGGATATGTACAGTGTTCCCATATTCATATGCATTCATCTTTGCTTTTCACAATATATTAGGATTCATCACCATATTTTCTAATGTTACGCGATTTTCAGCTTAATGTTCAGTTGTTTCCCATGTCAACTCATTTTAAACATATATGCAAAATGTTTGTGGACTATTTATGCAGTACGTGACAATGTCTTAAGAAATTTAACACTACTATCTCAGTATAGGTCGTTTTCAGCTATGTAGTTGTTTATATTTTATTTTGCACCTTGTCCTGAAGCACTCTGCTAGCAGTTTTTGAGGTTTCTACTGGTCAGTAAATTTTCATTTTTAGGTGTTCCACTTTGCTAGTGCGAAATACGGTCACCAAAAATAAATGATATTCGTATATCACTAAATTTTGAATAGAAGTGCTTTTAAGGTGTTGCTCATATATGTTAGGACCACCGAGTAATCTATGTTAAGTTTAAGCATGGGGTTTTAAAGATGGGAAGTCGTCTGCGACATAATAAATCCTTATCGACTTAGATAGCGAGTGTATGCATTATATACCTAACCACCACCTACGTTGACGAGATATTTTCTGATGTAGGGTGGTTTGAGAGAAAGCTATGGGTAGCCAAGCAAATACATCAGTCCGTAAAGCTAATAACCTTTGCTCTGAGCCATGTGGGGTAGATCCAGACTACCTGGTTGGGGTCCTCGCGATTATCGAAGGCAATGAGTGGAGATAATGAATAACAAATCAAAATTAGTTAAAATGGTGCAAATGCATTCACTTTTTGTTTCTCCTTAGATCTTAGGTTTTAGGAATACCTTGCAATTTTGTACTCTACAAACTCATTTTCTAGAATCATATTGTCTATGCTTAGTCCTTTCTAATGCTGTTGGTACTGTTATTGCTTCTACTACTCCAAGATTTTCTTGATCATTTTATATCTTTATGCTTATATTGTATAATAATACAGATACACATGTTTGTCAGATTAATGTTCATCATAACCGGTAAATGTAAGAGCGATCCTTGTAACTGTTTTACATATTTTTTCCTTACTAGCGGTCTCACGTCACATACCAAGTAAATAGTATGTCTACGAAGTCAGAATTCAGTCGGTTATAATCAGCCTAGCAAAAATTTGTTAGCCCAAGTTGCCGTTTTACGTAAAGAAAGCTTGATATAATTAATAAATATTTGAAATTTCTGTAGTGTGTGTTAATGAAAAGAATTAGTTATTTGACAACTAGTCTTGAGAAAAAAAGATAAATTGGGAAATATAAGGTATGGAAGGTTATTAAATCTTAGGGCTTGAGGAAAAATTAAAAATTGGTCTATTTACACCACTCACACCGATTCTGAACAAAGTTACTCAACATCTCCAACTCCGGATTACGGTTGTCCCCAGACCCCAACCAGGTATTCTGTATCTACTAAGATGGCTCAGACCAGTGGCTTGTGACCGATCTCATATTTTTGTTTGGGCACCCCTAACTATTTTTCCCATGTACTCCTCCACTAAACAATATCTCATGTCAGCCAGTGGTTGTGTATACGTGGCACGCATCCTGTTTATCTGTTTATGAAGATTTACCAGAAAGGATATAAAGTAATTACCAAAGTAACCGAAACAAATGAACTATTTTTATCCATAAAATTGTATTTAAAAATATGAATAAAATTTTGCTTAATGCTTTCTCAAAAGCACCATCTATGTTTGGTTACAGTAATGCTAAATCTGGAATGTTTTTAGTTCAGTCGAATTTCTGTCATGTATATAATCAGTTACACCGAACTATCTACATTGTTTAGTTAAATCACTTGTTTTGTAGCTACCGGCCCATACATTTGTATTAACACAGTTATGAATATAGTCAGGTTTTGTGGAACTTGTGTATGTAGGTAGCATGTGACAGACACGCACAGACATTTACATACTTTGCATCCATAAGTTTTTTGCGAAAAAATTTCAGCTGAAATCAATTTACAAAACCCTCAAGCATTCAAACTGTTTTGGTGAATCTGAATATCTGTGGGAGATTCATTAAATCCCAAAGATAACACTGCACAATCTCTTGTTAATTCATTGTTTTTCCACAGTTGTAAAAAAGGGTATAATACCTAGCTGATTGTTTGTACTATATGTTGAATTAACCAAATTTTATTTCTAGCGCTAAAGTTTTATGTCAAACTGGTAGTTCTTATCTATTTGCTTGAACTTTTCTAAATAAACAGATTTTGTTACTTTCATAGACAAAATTTACACCTCTATAATATGGAAAAGGGTCAGACGTTTCGTAAACAGAATAAAGAAAAATTGCAAAAGTAAGACGTTTTTTTGTTTTCTACTCTGTAAATATTGTTTAATGTGAACTTATGTACCAACTCACAGGTTTAATAAGAATCTTAATTTCATTTCTGTGCATCAGCTGCATTGCACCTGTGGAACATAAACTCTCCAAAAGATGGCAAGCTTTAATTACAATCATATGATTTCGAGTTGTACTCCACTCAATTAATTTAAAAAGTATTCAATGAACAGTCAGTTGATTAATTTATTTTTTCATTTAGGAATCATGCAATAAATTTGCTACTTCGATTCAGTAGGCTTTTGATTATTTTCTAGCTATTACATGTTTCTTGTCACGCGTAGTTGGAATATCTGCTACTAAGTGGCACCCCCTTCACTTCGGCTCTCAAGAAAAATTTAGAAGAAGCACTGAACTCGTCATTTCTTAATTGGGCACATTATGTAATTCATAATTTGTCAATCCCTTCTAATGGTTGTAGAAATTATTAATTATATGACTTAAATGTTATGAGTGTATTTTAGGATCCTTAAGTTGCCAAGGAAAATGTAACTCCTGGTCACGTCTTTATTTCGTCATTCTATTTATTAGCACTATCATTACTCTTTCGCAGTGGTATTACTTTATTTCTCCTATTCTGTATCCTGACATTATATTATTAGTTTACTCAGTATGCTGCAACTATTCATTGATTACTATATAAATTAGTTACCCTTTATTTAGTGTTCAGTTCTTATTATTGACAGTTTTCTAGTTCATTCAATAACAATCCAACAGACGTGCCTAAAATCAATAAATAATGAAATAGTTTACTGAGAATTTACATTTTAATGTCTAGTGACTTGCTTTGTTATATATATATATATATATATATATATATATATATATATATATATATATATATATATGATCTCAACGCATGGTAAGGGTGAGCTACTTTTCAAAAAGTATTATTTATTTCATAACTTGAAAAACATAAAGTTCTCTTAACCATAATCATTCATTTTATTCACCACTTATTTTACTATCATTGTTATCCTGATGTTTAATTTCTTTTACTATACAGAGAAAGTCACAGTGAAATCGAAAGGAAACGTCGTGAACGAATGAAGTTAGAAACAGAATTTCTACACCGTCAAGTACCACATTCACAATGTAAAGATAAATTATCCATTTTTCTTGCTGGAGCCGAACGACTTATTCATTATAACAGTATGTTTGATGCTTATTAATTGCTGTAATAATCATAATGACCATCATTATTGTTATTATTATTATCATCACTATTATTGTCATTCTTTTTAAATACACTATATAATTTGTTTAGATAAATTAGGAAAAAGGGAATATATCATCAATGATGAAGAGTATTCGCGAATTGTTATCAATGTAAGATTTGTTCATTTCACCTATTTATCAAATATATATTTATACATTTTTAATACACATATACTATTAGACTATTAATGGATTTGGTATACATGTCAAATGTTCCAGTGGTGAAATATTATATGAAGAAAACTCTGAAAAAGTACTTGATATTCCTCAAGTTAGTTTTTCAATGATTATTTTCATGTGTTGTGAACTGTATTATTGTTGTTATCATTTTTAACGAAATGGAGTTCATAAGCAAATATAATGTATCTGAAAATATAAACCTAGTCACATAAGTGTTTAGATTAGCATAAGTGACTCTCAAACACTATGGTCCCTGGTATTTTTTGTATCCACTTAAGACTCATTGAATATGAAACTGTACAGATGATCACTAATAATAAGCTGATAGTCTAGATTGGCTCTAGAATTTGCTTTCTGGGGCTTGTGTTATCTTTTATCTAGCGACTGTTTAGCTGAATCTACCATAGTGAGTAGCAATCTAACCTATAATTATGCGAATGAAACTTTCGAAATGAAATTCATAGGAAGAATCTAAGTAAAGACTATCAGTCTATGAATTAAATCTACAATGCTATTGAAAGGCAGTATGAATAAAACCATTATTCGTCAACCAAGTCTACTCTTACATTTTAAGGTTATTAATCCAAAAACCAGTGCTTTTTCTGAAATATTTTAAGTGCAAGTCCACAGTTTTCAGTAATACACAGTAACGTGTAGTGATTTTCGTGTCCACATCAATAAAGTATTTGTCTGACAAATAGCAATTTTTATAAAGAAGAATGAAGGCAGTCCAACCTAGAAAATTTCCTATCCGACGATTTCATTCTCTTTACTGAATCACCTTCTTTCTTCAGTGATACAATGGGTCTCTTTCGTTATTGAATATTTTCTTGTCATAATTCAAGTGACTATTCAAGAAATAGGTTACGTTTTATTTCAGCATCAAGACCTGATACAATATTACAACAAAAATGCGTCACATAATTATTTAGCATCAAATGGTCGTTTGTAAATAAAAAAACTATGAGTCAAATTTTAATGAAAAAGCAATCCCACTCTATATTATGTTTAGTTATTGTAGAGGATCATCGGCAAAAATAGAATACATTACAATTAATCATTGTTGAACATACATTTTACTTGTAAAAATTCGAATAGTCTGTTAAATAAAACTTTCACACTAGTGATTATGTACCGGTTATCTCCAACTGTACAGGTTTTTCGACAGTTCTGCCTTTACAATGTGTCTCATTACGAGATATGGATGTTGCTCACATTATCGTAAAGCCTTTGTAATGTATATTTTACGCATGAATATCAATATAATTGTGTTTTTTCTTCTGAAGACCGGTGACTTGGTGGCTATAGCATTCAATTTTCAGCCGATCAGTCGTAGGCTGGAATCTCGATTCGTTCACTTCATTTCGGGTAGTTGGATGCAAACTAACCACAAGCTCACATACACACAAATGTGGCTTAAAATAGATAGACAAAACTATACGCGACTAGTAACTGATATAATTCTTACAATGAGTGAACAAGGTAGAAAATTTACTAACCGCTATGGTGTTTCCACCTCATAAACTTATATATTTAGCACCACAATAAGTTATAAGGTTTGATGAATTTGTGTTTACATTATGAGTTGAAAATACTTAATTAATTCGTTAAAACAAGTCGTAAACCGAAAAATGCATTATAATACTTAAGCAACTGAGCAGACTACTGTAATCAGATTAAATTATGATCCGAAATTAAAGGTTATCAAGTCGCGTGTGTTTTTCGTTAGTTATTCCTTAATTATCATTAGAGCTATCTGACTACTACTAATTTTTTCAATTGTCTTTTATATTATGCTAACAGTATTTGCTGTTTGTTTTTCATTTTGTTCTAGAGTAGTTTTCTAGGCAAAACAATTTATGATTTAGCTGAACCAAGTGTTAATACAAAAAGAATTATCACTGATAGCCTCATGTTTTATGGTTCAGAGATGCAACAAGCAAGAGATGGACGTAAGTAATAGTAAAATATATTTATACCATTGTAAAATATGTATTCATATTTAATTTATTTTCGTGAATATTCTATTTTCTCTTATACTGATGAATCTCAAGCAAATCTATGAAGCTCTTTTTTTCTAGACTATAAACCACATGTGTAACATTTTTATACGACCTAAACTTATCCAATGGTTATGTCGTTGAAATACAGGTCAGTTTTAAGTCAAAAATCTTTCACTAAAGGATGTTAGTATGTTTCATTTGCCATAATCCTGTTTAGCGTACAACGTTAATTAAGTGACTTATTTTTACCATCCTGATTGATACGAAATACCAAGTGAACGTAAACAAAACCTTTCAAATCATTTACCAGTTTTCTTTGAATTTAGCGCACAGTTTACACATACATCTTTCATATATATAGCTAAACACATCGACACCCTTATTAACGAATCTAACCACTGTGCTCATAAGAAACTTATGCAATCATTATCGGAATATTCAACACTAGGCTGAATTACAAATGACTTACTATACGTTTTCTTTTCTTTGCCAATGTCTTTTTCTCAAAAAATTCTTCCCGTTTTTTGTTATAAAACTGTAACACTCACTTCACACTTACGTAACTGTTATCACTATTCGAATTATCAGTCCTCGTAAAGCATTCTCTAATATTATACTATTACTTATGCTTGTTACTCCATAGGGCATAGAGTGCCGACCAGGATTCTCACACTAACTCTATACTGGGCTTTCCCTTTCAGTTGTTGCCAAATGCCATTCATTCTTTTGATTTCACCCCTGAAGTTCCGGCGTAGTATGAATTCTTTGGTATGCTTCCTTTCCTTTTACTTTGAGGATTTCAAGTTAGGGCTTGCCTCGTGATGCAGTTTGATGATTTCCGCAATGTGTTTCCTATGCGCCTCCAGCTTCTTTTCTTAATTTCCTCTTCAGCTGGGATCTGGTTTGTTTTTTGCTGCATAAGGTTGTTGCTGCTGTATTATCTTATGCAGTGAATCAACTCAATAACTAAATGTGTGTCAATTCATTCATTTAATAATTATAATATGTTTCTCAATAATTACCACCGTACCCACCACCCGATCTTCCAATTAATTTGTCAGTCATTCAGTTATTTTCATAAACGCATTATTATTACGATTATTATTATTATTATTATTATTATTATTATTATTATTATCTAACACTGCCAATTCGGAAATCGAAACTGAGAGTTTGTTAAATAAGATTTCGAGTGCGCTACTGTAATAAGAGCAGTTAACTATTTTCGATCATGAAATATTGCACAATAGATTTTGTAACCTTTTAACATTGAGAAATGGCACAGTTCAAAAAATCAACACCAAAAAAATATTGTCAAATAATAACTTTTTATAGTTACCTGAATATTCATAAATTCTGTAGTTTAAATCACGAACTGATCTTAGATAGAACACTACTAAAAACTGGGAGGCACTGGACAACTGTTTCGTCTTAGTATAAAACACTCGGTGATGCACATCCATGATGTCTCCATAGGGGACATAAACGCAGAATCTTCGGTCTCGCAAGCGATCGCTTTACAGTTGATTTGGCATCCGACGGTGTACATATATGACTTCAATCAACTTACAATGTTAGCCAATTATCATCCATTGCATGCAATGGATAACAATCTCCCACTCGACGTTGTTGAACTCCACGGATTATAGCTTCTCACTAGAATGCTCGGAGTTGCATCTTGAATTCAGTTATTAATTAACATATGACTATTCTCAGTATAGATAAAATCATTCAAATGCCAGAGGAGTTTCCGAGTAACTCAGTTCAATGCTATTATGTTTTGAGTGATGTTCTAGTTAAAATCAGTTCATAATTTAAAGTACAAAAGTTCTACAATCTTCACAAATCTCTATGCATTGATATTATTCATAACTGTTTATGATTTATAAATGTATACAGTGTGAAATTTCAGCAAATCATGTATGTATGTGAATATTTTGTAAAGAAATCATGAACCTAACAAATCACCATTCAGTGTGTTGCGGTTAGATTAGATTGGACAGTATTTAAAATTTCGTTGAGACTCTCTATTTTCAAGTTCGAGAGGTGTTTTTTGCAGGGAAGAACAACTATTGGTCCACTTTTTAAGTTTGATGGTTTTTTAATGATATCGGTTGGTAACAAAAGCTTTCCTCAAATTAATCCTTTCTTAAAAGCTACCGAATTGGTTGGTAACCTACTTTTTGTCCATTGGTAATTCACCTGAAATTACTTTTCTCAGTGTTCCTAGAAATTTCGTTATTGGATCCAAAAAACAGTCAAGCTACAGTAGACGTTTACTGAAACAAAAAATTAACTGTTAATGGTTAACCATCGATGTATTCATCATAACACCCAAAGGACATTGCTCCATTCTCTTAAGGTATGGATACTGTATACCGCATAGTACCGCTATACCTTGGTTGTTGATTCCTTCCACTCTACTTTATTTATCTTAGTGCATGAAAAATCTTCAGACATTTGTTTTGTAAACTGAAATAAATCAAGACTTATTTTTCTAAGATTCAATAACAAATGACTAGTTGCGCTAAAAAACGAGACTCAATAATTCAAATATTCAGTGTGTAATTTTAAGCAACACATTTAAACATTTGCTTATTCTAGACATTATGGTTTTTTTTATTTACGCGTTTATAGACCTCATTTCACGGAATTTCATCATTGCCATGCGTTGCGGATCTGGTATTCCAGTAAAAAATTGTATACGTGGTTCTGATGGTCAACTGTATCGATTTATAGAATTCTGTGGGGATATTGTTTATCAAAGTATGTTATTGTTTGTTTAAATGCGTTATTATCTTTAGAAAAAAAAACCAACACATGTTTCTGTTTGCTGATAGATTTATTCTTCTTGTTTACATTTTCTACCAAAAATCATTTCGAACCATAAAGAGATCATTATAATCCAAAAAGTTGTCAGCTTTGAGGCAAAATATATCATTTAAAAATCATATCATGTGAACTTAGGATTGTTAAATATAACAAAATTGTTAATTTTGAGATGACTAACTTGCAATGTCAACTTGAATCAGCTTATACGTTAAATGAAATTATGAGATTCATTAGCAGAATAAATATGGGTCAGATAGGATGAGAGAACTAATAGTACAATTACAAATTTATTCCAATGTCCAGTAAAAGACTATATTGTGTATAAAGTTATATGAAATCAGTAAGTGGTAAGTGCTAGGTAGATTTATCCTATGTTCGAGAGACTAATAGTAATGTTAAACCAATAATGATAATAATATAAAGATATGTGAGTAAATATAACGAAGGGGATTATATTTAACTAAGAACAGCTGTAAGTACATTAGTCAGACTAGCTAATTCACTAGTTAAGATTACTATTAATTAAATAGTCCTGATATTGGTCATTGGAGGAGAAGAGGTTGGAGACATTTCTTTTGTAAACACAGCTACGTTTTTTTAATCTGGATGGCATTTGCCTATGCCTGTTGATCAGATTTAACTTTATGCATCCTAAACTTAATCATGATGTTTATTTATTATTGTCGGACTGATAATTTTTGAATTATTACTCCCGTACAATTAGATGATAATGATTGTTCCGAAGCTTATTATTTATTCCGTGGTGTCTGTCGCCCTTTGGATATAGCCTGTCCAACTGTTTCCGATAATTCATCTGACAAACCCACGTCACCTAATAAAACTATCAGTTCTGATCATGTTACTTTACGCATTGGAGTGAATACTTTGTCAATAACAGAAGTTGTTGGAAAGTGAGTGCTACTATTCTTCTTGCTTATGAATAAGTTATTGACTGTTTTCATTTATTACATAACAGTATAATATAATCGACAAGCATTAGGTCTAATGATCAAGTTTAATTAACTGCAGAGTGAAAGACCCGCAGAACTGATTTCTTCAATTTCCAATGACATTTAATCATGCATATTTTTTCTAAGTTGAACTCAGGAGTCAATCTAAGCTAGACCACCATTGAAAACCTGAAAGCACTGGACGGCTATTTCGTCCTAGTATGGGACTCCTCAACAGTACGCATCCACGATCCCACACGCGGGACTCAAACCCAGGACCTTCAGTCTCGCGCGTAAACACTTAACATCTAGACCACTGAACAGGCATCTAACATTGTTAATGGTTAAATTCGATCTGTCCATGATCTTGCGCAACTCCTCATTCATTGTCTGAGGTGAATAAATGTCTCACACTCAACATGGATTGGACTCCACTGGTCACGGCTTGTGACTAGAACTCCAGGAAACTCATCTTGAACCTAGTCACTAGTGAGCAAATGATTATTGTGGAGATTGTAGTACTTTAACGGTCGGATTCACGAGTCACTTAACATTATGACCTTTATGTTTTTCATTTTTGTAATGAACGAGAACACAGGTGGGGACGACTAATTTATTGTTTAATACAAAATTACAGAATATCTTGGTAAAATATAAGAACCATATATTGAATACTTCATTTGTAAAATCCCATCATTTGTCCTTCACACTCCGTATGATCCTTCCAGTTCACAATTCCTTTCAATTTCCATTTCTGTTTTCTTCAACTCGATCTTTTTAACCTTCTACTGCCAGCCATTCAACTTTTGATTGGTGTAACATACTACTTATGTCGACAGGCATAAGTAGCATATACCACAATATTTTCAAAGTTGGATTCACGAGTCAATCTAAGCTGTCAACATATTTGATATATAAGGATACTATTCTATTAGAAAAAAGACCTATTCATTTGATTAGTGGTTTTGTCAGCATCCATCACTCAGCCGTATGGTATCATGGAATATTACCTATCAATAACCATTCTATATATTCATTTTTACAACCGGAAATTCGTTTATCAGATCAAAAATTATACTCTTAATAACAGTGATAATATAGAAATCTATTGTTAAATGTGGATTACATCGGATAAGTGCAAGTAATGTATTCAGTTAATCCAATCCCAAATAAGACTTATTAAAACACTCCCAAATAGTACACCCTTTACAAATCATTAATGTAAAATAAAATACAAATGAAACCCTCAGTTCATGCAAAGATACCGTTGTATAACCGCTTTTTTAGGAACTGCTACAGGTCCTACATCTACTTTAACTTGAATGTCAATTACCCAGTAAGTAAATACGAATATTATTCTCCTCAAGCTGAATAAAGAAAAACGCATTTAGATTTTCTACACCAACAAATACAGCACCGAAACATAAATTCGTCTACAGTACATTGGGATTCATATAAACCTATTTGAACTCCGTAACGCAAATCAGTTTGCTTTTAATGTTAAGTTGACATACCCTGTGTAAAATCTGCCTTTCAATACAATAAATCATATACAGTTGTCTTACGATTGGCTGAAACGGTTTTAGATCCCAAGGCCTTTTTGCAACATAGTTGTTTTATCATAATCCATCCTCCTCTAAATAGTTTAAAAGGTTTACCCAAGAGTTTTACCAGTACACTCGACTGACATCAGTTTGTCGTCAACATCATCTATTTCATCTTCGGAAGACATGTTTTTTTAATATAAACTGTGACCCTAGTGTCTGTTCGTTCGTCGGCATTACCAATAGTTCTTGTATAAAGCCCCCTATACTTGTGATTTTCAATCATCTCTCTGTAGCCCGTTTCATGCAGTGCTTCGTTCTTCCGTATCTCCGAGTGGACTAAACACCAAAACTGTGCATACAATGCATTAACATCTAATCATTGTTCTCGGGGTAGAAGTACCGTAACAATGTCTAACTTTTTTTAGCACACCTTTCTGATTCTATGTTTTTAAATAACTCATAGCCATCAATCTACAATATATACATATTAAACACATTTTTTGTTCACTTTCTCTTGAGTTTTCCTAACTATTTCAATCCACTTTTAAACATACGTACGCAGTTATTCTTGATGGTATTATATTTTTTATCCTATATTTATTTATTATTGCCCAAATTTCTTCAGTTCACTGTCAATACTTGGTTGGGATGCTAAAGATTTGTTGGACAAACATGTTGAAGAATTTGTTACCATTCCTGAACAAAATATTGTCACACACGCAATACAAGAAAGTAAGTTACAGACTTTTATTTACATGAAAATCTCTTTACATTTTATGGACATAAGTTATATGTATCACTACGGATACCAAGTTCTCTCCCTAAATATTTATTCATCATAGGTTAGATTCTGTCTTTCTAACAGTTCGCGGTTGCGTCGAAAGTATTAAAATAGACCACTGAAAAATGATGTGCTTTGCCACATCAGCACGACGAGATAGAAACAAAAAGATGAATTGTAGGAGTCTAAAGGGGTGTGGTAGTATTGGAAGTCAGAAAGACTAAATACTGGGAATATGGTTTAAAAAGACACAGCGGGAAGATATGTATCGACGAATAATGGGATTCAAGATCCAGAGGAAGATAAAGAGTGGATGCATCTGTGTCATTGTGGCAACTACTAGCCACGGTTATCATATGGACCTTAATTAGATAGTCCGCATCTACTAGCACAGCTCAGGCCAACAGTCAGTCATTTTATGGACTGATACCGAATCTTGGTTTGACCTTACCCAACTTTCACCAGATAAAATAACTCGTCTTGGTAGGCATACGTTACACATGTCCTAATCAGGAAATTTTGTGAAGTTAGTGATGGCTGGTATGAGCCACGTAGAGACGTGGAGACTTCTAAACCTTGGGAAAATTGCAATGTAGACATCGATACTTTGAAAACACACCTGAATTTCATTCAGTATTGAACTTGTTTGCATTTAGTAATTATAATTAACTTCTTTATTATATTATAGCTGTTAAAAATGGCTTATCTACAATATTTATTAATTGGTTAAACCATGGGAAAACAAAGTCAGTGTACTTGAAAGCTGTGTTTACAGCCATCCAATTGAATACCTTTCTTTACTGTATTATCTGCAAGCTATATTCAACTGAGTAAGTTACTTTTCTTCCCATCAAGTATACATTTAATTACTAATACCGAGGTTGAAATCAATAGAAAACATGGACAACCGTGACATTGTAGATAGTAGACTTTGGGTAGATAAACCGAAACTCGTATTTCCTATTCAAAATTAATCATACATTTAGAATTCAGCCCGATAATTTGAATTGTTAGTTATACGATATATATACTTGTGCTGTATATATGTGAATCGGATCTTTATAGACTAATTGATTTAAGCTCATAAAACACTTGTTCTTCTCAACTAATAAGCAATTTCAACTATTTATTATTTTTGGAAGGTTATCCAACACATATTTTATCATTACAATGTTATAGAGATTGTTGAATTTCATTGAAATCACGAACTAATCAAAGTTGGCTGTTTAACTTCGATCGCTTCGTGATTTCAATATATGTTTACGGTCCATCAGCTTCGTGTTTGTTATTAACGAGAAAACTAACACGCAGTTAACATCGTTCTATATATCAATCAGTAATACTCACAAATTAGTTGAGTGACATTGTCATGTTTTAGTAGGCTGATCAGTTTCCGTTTTAACATTGTCAAACATTTTTCAGGATGACTTTCTGACTTGTAGAATTTTTTATGACATAACCCTACTTTGTTTAAAATCTTCTAAGCAATAGAAAGTCACTTTCAATCATAAAGGTAACCTAGCGATTAAAGCATTATGAATTGGAGCCCTACCTCACCCATTTCATTATGAGCAGATGGGTAGCATCCTTGTCATCTATACGAATTATGGCTCGAGGATAAATACATAGACCTGTGTATGATAAAGTTACAATGAAAAAGTAAAAAAAAATTGAATAGTATACACCTTTCATTTTTAGATTTCCTGCGTTAACTCAATCCAAACCAGAACCACAGACACCGGTTTTCAAATCACGAGAGTACTCAGAATTACAAGTAACTAATAACGAAACAATTGCTCCATTTGACTGGAACGATTCATTTAACTACAACACTACAACTAAAATGAAATCAACTGAATTTTCAATGGGATCATGTCAGCATACAACTAACAACAGCATTAACAATACACCAATCTGTAGACCTGATACACTAAACATTACAGATGAACATCATATTGATCTAGCGAAAACCGATGGGGATGGACATTTTCATGTTTTGGATATTCCCTACAGACCTATGCAGGTAATGAAATTTCATTTGGTCCTGTAGGACTTTAATAGAGCATTAATGATTAAGTAAAAATTCAATTTGGTGCAAATGACAATTTAATAATTATAAATCGCCGTTTTTGTATGTTAGCTTTTAGTATTAAAATAATAAAATTGATTTTAATAATATTTTTTATTAGGAAACAAATGGACAATGTTCAGTAACTAGTATATCCAATAAAAATGACACAACGCATATTACTCCATCTACATGTACTTATGGTGAACATTTTGAAGCACTTCAACATCCTATTTTCTCTCTTGATGCAGATGACATGATTTCTGTTGAAACTAATCAAACAAGTGACTCCAAATACTTGCCAGATAATAGTATGTTTAAAAACTTTTTTGTTACATCAAACTATTTATATTCATATGTAAATACCTTTTGAACCCGTGTAAAACGAACCGAAATGCGAGTAGCTAATAAGACCGTATGATGGACAGCCTATTCTTGACATTATAATTCCATTGTTATTCACAAGGAAGATTACATGCAGAAGTTCACTGTGAAAAACGAAAACTGTTTATCTTGATATTATTATTCCGAAAATATGTAGATAGTTTTTTTAATTAGCGATAATGCATAACAACTATTATATTACATAGACTTTCCGAGTTTAACGTACAAATCAATAAAATGTTCTTCCTTTCAAAATAACTTCACAGATATATGAACAGTTACCTTGAAACTGACTCCATCTAATATAGTACATTCGTCATCACCAAGTAGGGTAATAAAAAAGCACTCGTGAAATACAGACTTCAACCGTGAAATTAATGAACTTTAAGTTTCATTTTGTTTGACAAAATATTGGGGTAACTAAAGTTATCGAACTAATATGTTACCTATAAATCAGATGACAGGATTACTGGGCAGTTAAATCATTTTAGTTGAGGATAGAAGTTGTCAATTTTTACGAAACCCACCGGATGATAAACGATTGATCAGAAAATGAAAATATTACAAAGCTACTAACGATTCGCAACAGTATTCACAAGATATATTTTAAACTCACGGTGGTCCTATTTCTAACAGGATATTATAGTGGTTAATTAATTTAATGTTTACTGCAGAAAGTCATCTTCTCTTAGTGCCCTATAAAGTATTCTAGTCTAACCGACTAAAATAATTTCACTGAATGTTATCATCCTCATTGGTTAATCTGAAGTTTCTGGGTTCTATTTTGTGCAAGTACTCATGAACGGTTCTAAATTAAGATGGAACAACTGATCCGGTAGAACCTAGTTTTCAGGTCGATTTCAATAGTATCTTCAATTTTTTTATTACGTTGACCGTTATATCTTGATATGATGAACTCGCTGTTCATCCTATTCATTGACAATTATTTGATTCAACTAACTGAATTAATTCAATTTTTTAATATAGCAAATGACTTAAAGTACAATAATAACGATGGACAAGATTGGCGCCAACTTCCATTGAACACTAGTTTCAGTAGTATGTTTTCCGAAAGTGGACTACCTGAACTATTCAGTTCTGATTATATAAAAGATTTGATTGAAGAAGATGTAACCGACCTGTGATATGTTTTTTTTGTCTCAATAATTTCAAAACCTTTACTACCTATGAAGTATGTGCAATCATCCTTTTTTTAATTTTAAAACTTGATTAGAGAACAATTATTATTTTTCAAACGACTGATTTTACTGACTGCATAATTATCCTCTGTACAACATACAAAAAATATTCTTGTGAAGTGAAAATTCATTTCCTAATATATTTTGTATTAAATGATCTTGTGAATGATATTTGCAAATTAGTTAAATGGATTAAAAACAGACTATATGGACTATCTTTACTACTGGTCTATTGCCATATAAATGTTACTGCCAGACTTGAAGAAGTATGTTTAGTGCTCTTCTAATTATTTGACACATGTAATTACTGTAGATTAAAAGGATAATGATTCATAGGCTCAAATCTTTGAAACCAGTAGAACTTGGTGTAAAGGGGTTGATTAACCAACAAGGTCAGGAGTAGACGATGAACTTTCAGAATCACTGAGAGTGTGACACATGGAATAGAAGTTGGATTAGTCTCGATGGTCTTACTGGTACGCAAGCTTGACTGTTAAGCTTAAGGGAAGACTCGTTCACGTCAGTCAAGCACAAAATGCTGATGAACACTTATTTGATTCTGAACCACTAAAAAGCGACCATGGTCTTTCCATTTATCCCTCATAATATATGTGGCAAACACCAACAATCTTACAGAAATTATAAGTCGGAAACTCATCCAGTTCATGGGGATTGAACACTGAAATCTTTCCGCAGTAATTTTAAGTCTCGATAAATACCTTGGATAACAGGTCGGCCTGTACTTTCCAATTAAGTTCTACTTTTAGCCAAGATTTCAAAAATATTTCCTACAGTTCTTATGGAATTTTTCGATAGTGTAAAGTGCACATCATACGGATAAATGTTACCTCTGAACACAAAGACCAATAGTTTTATATATCAAAACTAGAGTGACTGGCTTATGGACAAAAAGACATCATTAAATTAACAAAGATTAAAAAAGAGTCACGACATTAGGTGTGGTTCGCATAAATATATCTACAGAATAACCTATTCTGTTTCATCCAAAGTTTAATAAAGACGAATCATACCGCCGTTAAATGCTTAGGAGGAACTGAAGCCTTCCACATCACTAAGATTGGTGCAATCTAGTTGCACAAAATGGGGGACGAATTTATCTGTTGCTAAAAACCTTGATTACAGCACCCAGAAGTGTACAAGAGGATGTTTTTAGAGGTTCATTTCCATATAGGATGAAAAAGACAACATTATTGAGAATCCAAGTGACCTAAATTAACCTACTACTGCTGATTTGCTTTAGAAGTGTTTAAGACACAAGCAATTATTCACACTGCACTAAAAGCTGGTTTTGTTTTAATTCATACACCCTTAGCCACAACCAACTTTAACCCACAATGTTAACTGACAAATGATTAAGCTGAATACCTCCCGGATGTAACTTGCGCAATATTTGGAGACACTGGGGAACAAAATTTGAAATAGGTTGGAGTGGTACAGTAGCAATAATTTCATTTCACTCTAAATTTCAAGTCTATTGTTATCCTAAACTTTCCACCTCTAAATCTGATTTGCTTCTTTTGAAATAATTCATTACATTTAGCTTTCAACTGCAAATGGTATTATCTCTTCTCTTCTTATTCCCATCTGGTCAACCTCCTATCATTGTGCTGATATGAAATGAAGTCATTTAGACTGTTATATATTCATTGTCTAAGACTGACCAGAATGTGGGTACTTTGAAAAATATGGACAAAAATAAGCAAAAATGAAAAGTCGGCAACTGTTAAACCACCTTGCCTGAAGCATTTAAATTTTACTGTTTTCAACAAACACGCTTCTGTTTAAAATAAACCGTTGAGTGTGATGCAGACCTAAACATACTAGATATACTCTAATTGCATTTACATGCTTAGGTTGGACACATGCGACTTAAGCGAAGTTTTTCTGTAAATTACTAACCATATCGGAGTGTGAATATGTATTATATAAACAGTTGTTTGCCCGGTACTACAATTCTTCTGGTTTGAGTGTGATAGTAGCAGGATCTATCCCCACTTTACTTAATATTTCTTGTTCAGTTGTTTTTTCTCCAGAAAAAGAAGTCAGTTCTTGTAGTGCCTTCCAAGCTGCTTTTTTCCATTTGTTTGTAACTGTTTCTAAATTTACCATTTCATTCTAAAATAAATCAGTGGTTGTAACTTACCTCACTATCGTATCGACACAACAGTTGTAGCTTTCTTAATACTTCTTTCTCATCATCGCCTGATATCCCTCTAATTCTTGGATTAACGTACTAAAAATAAGTTGAATATATGTAAGTGATTACTGGTTGCTTTTTCGCACTCGTCATATTTTGGTCACATGTGTGATTAACAGATTTAGACTGATTTCTAAATGGAGGAAAAGTGTACAGAAGATGACTTTATACTACTCACATGAATTTAATGTAATACTTAAACTATTCATATTACACAAACACCGAGGTCATTACGATAGTTTTTTGAAATAAAAGTGATTTTATGTATGCTTATCATATTTGCATCGACATAGTGCTTGGGCATGGTTTATGAACTTATTCAGACTTCATTTAATTATTTCTTTGATTTGTTTCTCCCTTGTTTGTTCATGTCAGTGGCTATTTCATTATTTTCTGGAGAATTGTTGTTCTTCAAGTACATGGTGCTGTGGGCTAGTGGGACCCCGCCCCATGAACTAAAGCGAGGGGCTAGTTGACGATAAGACTGGTCACATGCTCTGTTGATTACAAAGCAAAATTTGGCTTATGAAATGTCAGAGGATGGTCCCAAGTAGCCTATAGGAAGCAATGCGTGACAAAATAATTACAAGATAAAATACAGTAATCGGACCTAGAGACTAAACTAAAGCAAAATAAAATCCATATATGGTACGTTGAAGACCAAAACCCAACCACTAAAATGAAGAGAATTATTCAGAGTCAAATAGACAACGGAAATAATCACAAAACGTCGGATGCGCCAACTACAACTGTGCATGGATTCACTGAAAGCAACTTTCTCCCAACTATTTGAAACACTCATCCAAAAAAAGATTCAATAGAAATAATAAATATGAGCAAACGATTTATAAGACTAGGCTAAATGTACGAATAAAGACTGTGATAGAATGCTTGCAACAATGAACAAGCATTTCGGAAACTATCACGCATCAGCCTAATTAATAATCATAAACCTGGACAAACACAAATGTTCGCTCATTGACTACTTTAAAATCTTTAGAACAAAAGCACATCCAAACGTCCCACATCCAATACGAACAAATCGGAACGCTTCAAACAGCACACGCAAATCCAAAGACCAAAGTAAATGAACAATCGAACTAACCACATAATAACACTGAATATCAGTCCTCATCCAGAGACTGATATGGAAAGGAGTTATCAGCCATTGTTATACACCGTACAAATGATCGGGAATTATCGGACAGGGAACAAGACAGAAGCAACTGGCGCATATGTAGTTGTGCTGTTTCATCAGTGAAACCCTTCAGAAAGGCAACTAGTTTCGCTAATACCAAAAGGACTGGAAATTAAACGACCATATTGCTCTACTTACATCCTGGATGTTGGGTAAGGGAATGGTACACAGATAACTCGTGGCAAGACTTCATAAACGGCTTCGTTGCACGAACTTATCAATAATTAGGCCCACCGAAGTCGCCTACATAAATTCGAACAGGATTTCGGACAGTTAAATGGGAATTTACTAGCCTACCATCTGAAGGTTTACTATAGTAAGGTTAATTCAGCATAACATTATTTTAGTTTTGCATGATCCTGTGTTAGTTTTTATGTTTTTTTCTGTTGTTTCACTATCTCCACAGATTATTTGGATGTTATTTTCGCATACAGTATGATTGTTATGCCTCTGTAACTTAATATGTCAGTTCTGCAGAGTAGGTAGCCCGGGATTCGCACTTAGATACCACTTATCTCTTAAGGGAGCCAGGTTTCTGAGATAAGTTTTCAATCCCTAGCTTTATTGTTGAGTTTGTGACTAGTGAGTTACGTTTAGTTTCGACTACAAAGACACCAGGCAGGTTCAAATTTTCCATTTTTGTTTATCTCTAGGTTGCCTTACAAAATGTTGAAGTGGATTCCCAAGGTTTGCACATGTTTCCAGGCTGTAATTTCCGCTGTGCAGTGGACTTTAAGACTACGGTTGTCATTGCATGATTGTTTACAATATGCATAGTAGATTATCTGTCAAAGACTTTACACTAGCTAGATTATGTTTAGACGTAGTTTGGGATTTGTTTATGAGTGTTTCCGACTTGCGGAAGATAAATAAATCAAGTTTTTGCTGTGTGCATGTTTAAGAAGACAGCTTTTTAAACGCACCAACTGGTGGAGCCAATAATAATTGTTCAAGTGGGGAGTTTCGGTCGATGACTGTCTGATACATCACATCGAACATTTCTTACATATCGGAAAAGCCAATTCCAACTTTATTATTCACCAGCCGTTTCTAGAAATTTCTTAAGACCTAGAAGAACGTAATTACTAACCACCAAAGACGATTTTTATCATGATGAGTTGACTGAGCTCATTTATTTTGTGTTGATAATTATCCCTATAGACCTTAAAAGAGTAAAGGTTTCCAGACCAGAAACATTCCATGAACATACAAACTATTTGGTTTTAATCAGCATCATATTACAATATACTCTTTTTCCTCAATACATCATTGTCAAATTAGTGGATTGCATCTGACCTAAAGGTACTTTGGGTGCTGAAGGTGAATGGTGTCAGTGAAGAGAACTCGGGAAACATGAGGAAAAGTGAGCCAGTGGATCAGTATGCACATAAGACGGGCTAACATCATATATTTAAAGCGACCGATAAAAATTTTTAATATTATGGGACTAACAGTAAAACAACAACAAGAGGATCACGTCTAGATCGAAAGTCCTTAGTGTGTTGAGGTTGTGAGTGGCAGTATATGGAAGTATTTAGGAAAGAGAAGAACGTTGAGACTATAAATTAGACGAAACAAAGAGATTTCAAATAGAAATTACTGGATTTTGGAGCAAGACTCACTAGCTAAGTCCAGACATGGACTAGTCCATACGCCTATATAGCATTTTGGCATCACAACTAATGTAAGATCATCATTTTAACAGTAACTTTAATTCGCAACCCCGAAGTAATACCATACATCCTGGCCCTAAACTCTCAACAGTAGCAAGTAGGTCACTTTCGAAGCACACAAGGTTGTTCGTGAACGACAATCTAACCAAAAAATAAGGGATAAATTTAGTCGACAACCTTACAAGCACACAAAATGAAAATAATTAAAGATGACACATTCATGAGGTTAAGACAACCTGATAAGCAAAACCAGATATCAGTAACGTGAGGTTTCGAACAACTTCAAAAAGTTTTCAAAACTTTAGGGTCATAGGAAACTATAAAACAAACGATAATAACAAAAAGCGGAAAGTTCCTATGTACAGTGTTCACAACACGAGCTTACCTCGTTCTCGAATCTTTATGTTAAGGAAAGACTGCGAGTATCTCCGAACCACAGTTACCCAAATTTCTAATCCTTTTGTTTCAAAGGATTTTTAGCGACGGTGTAATAACATGGATTTTCAGGTAAATGACTACCGAAACGAATTTATTATGCCTCAGACGATAACCTTCGGCCTCTGGATAATGCATGAAAAATGGCAGGGTGAGATCAGGGTTCAAAATGGAAACATCATAGAAACTGCTGGCACCTCCAAAATGTTATGGGCTATGAAATTTACTGTATTAAGGTACTCAGTTAAGTTATTATGTTAAACGACCTGCCCTTAATAGATACATTAATTTCAATTTTCTGAACAAGAATATTATCAATCATAGAGAAAGTCGTCTCTCTTTTCGGAAGCTGATTTGTGATGAAAAACCTGTTCCAGTTCCACTTTCAGCTCGGAAAGTAAGACAATAAAAGCGAGGGCGTGAAAGATGCGAATCCATCATTGATTTGAAACCTGTGATCAAGTCACCTCCAATCTTTTTATATAACAAGTGGGTTAGATTTAGTTAAACCAGTCTTTCGTCATTGCTTTTCAAACCAAAACATAGCATCAGTCAGTGAAGTCATTGAAAGTTGGACTTAACCGTGACAAAAGGTGAAGACCACCGTGTCTGGGTCCATGTGATTATCGTAACCAATATTTAGAGACTTTTGCTGATAAGGCTTGACGTTGGTTGTAATAATGCAGATGCATCCGCTCTTTGTCTTGTAGCGTGGCGTCGAGTTGAGATTAACTATGAACACCGCTACCAAGAAACACGTGCCAGACAAATCAGAAGGCGAGGTTGAACGTAACCAGATTTATTTCGTTGGCGATCTCGTGGTATTGAACGAATACCGAGATCGTGCCAAGAAATGATACAAGTGGAAGCAGAAGACAGGAGTACGTGCGAACAGTACCAAAAACCGCGGAACAATGATGGAAGGTAATGGAAGCACAAAATGGCTATAATTAGCACAGTTAAACAAAAGCACATTAAAACAAACACTGGTACAGTTGGTTATAATAATAATTGTTTTTATTAAACCAGTCGTGTTCTCGTGATAAATGTGAGTCACTACAGTCTTTTGCCAAATTCTGGGATTCCGAATTACCCATAACCGTTGTCGAAAGCCATGAACCTTGACCTATACTGTTTTGGCGTATGCTTGGCTAGTTGAGGTCAACTCTTAACCAACCAACCTATGCTGTTACAAACCAATGTAATAAGACTTTACAAATGTACGAACACCAGCATAGTTTGATATATTTGTCTTCAACTTAAAATGCTTTCCGACATGTACTCTTTCTTGGACCAGATTTTCTCAGTTGGTAAGTCTGTAGTGGCATTGGACAATAGCCACACAATCCACAAAGCTGTGAACACAAGACTACACAGAAAATAGATATTCAATATTTAACGCGGAGAAATACCTAACAATGGAGAAGGCGCGATCAATGAAGTGAATGGAGTGGCATGGCTCGGCCATGCAGGCGTGGTCTCTGCTGAATGTTACCTTATATCTTCTATTCATATTTTTTTTTTTTTTTTTTTTTTAGCCTAACCTTGTTCTACATCATGTATTGGTAATTGACACGATACAGTGAGTTGGTGTAGTCGATGGTGTGACTTCCACGTAAGATCTTATAGATTAGGCAGTTATATCATGACAAATCTACAAATTTAGGATTAGGTCTATTATTAGAGCAGTACTAATATCATAGTAGACCATAATTCTACATTGGTAAGCCCGACTAGAGAAACGCAACCTAATATTGTTAATCTTATTTCCATTCTAAATTTCTTGATCTATTTTGTATTTATGTTAACCCAATATTCTAACGGTCCTGATTAATGCTCACATGTATTATCGTAATGTTATATTGATTAGTTCTCATGACATACTAGCTCAATCGATAATAAAAACTGGTCGTCTATATTAACTAATTAGCTTTGATGGTTCGTTAACAAGCTTTAATAGCATTTACATGCTTCAGCGACATAGACTTGTTTAAGCATCAAGCTCTAGCAAATATGACCTGTAAATAACGCAAATATACATTGACTAACAATGCAGCAAGGACTAAATAGTTACCTGGATCTAATATTCAGTGTTCCTTATCTTATCACCTCATCCTGTTTTAAACTATGCACTATCCTGTAATATCTTTTCTTCCGACCACTGCCTGCCTAATTTCAAATTCTCGAGTTCCATTGCCAAACAACAAGGATGACACTTCTCTAAAAACATACGGTGAGTTTCAGCCATAAGTTTTCTGCAATCATAAGGTCATTTTAGATGGCTCGTTCAATGGTGACCGCACAATTATCTGGATTCATTCGGTTGTTCTGATCCGAGCGAGTGGCAAAAACGTCAACAGCATCAAGCACCCTGGAATTAATTGCCATACTGCATGTTTTATTCTGGATACTTTTGGATCATTACTACTCCTCACGAATGGCGTTATATATGTCGTCCACTGAATAATCTAATTTTCAAAAATAACCCAGGCGAGTTCAACTATTTTACTTAATGATTTTTTTGTACTTAACATGTATATATTTTCCAGTTTCTTTTGCCATATATTTGTAAGTGTCCCTAGGCTAAATGCAGTAACTTCTTATGGAATGTTTATAACGCATCATATTCCTGCCTGAAGTTTCACAAGCAGTCTTAACTTTAAAATTATTTTCTGGTCATGTTCATTATTTTTAAATCGTCATATACGTCAACAACCTGCATGTTAACCTGGCCCATACATACGTTACACTATATCTCCATGTCTTCTAAATTTAGAAATCATCTGATCGCCTTTAACATTTATCAATAAACCCATCATAGTCGTTGTTGCTAATCGTATTTGGGTTTATGGATTGGTTTATCATATTAGCAGCCTAAAATGCGAACATAGTTTAGATAATAAGATTAAAAATTTAGGTACTATCAACTGCACTAGTAAAATAACTAAATCCCAGGTAGCTGTTGGCTAAACAAACGTTTAAAATCAAAACTCCGTAGCCTACTAGAATTAACACTAAACGAATATTTCTGAATTGAAATTTATAATTAAATTAGGCGTCTCGGATTCTTTAACGTTATAAATTTCTGATAATTTCGAATCACCTAAAGCAACAATACCTATTTTTCCACTGACTAATCCTCAATCAACACTATAACTAGTTAAACATAATAGTTTCAGGATATCGTCATAAAGCATTGTCATGACTTGACAATCACGTAATATGATTGATAAAATTAATGAAACTATTAACAAAATCGGTCAGCAAATTGACTTATAATTATCACTAGTGTTGTTTTTCTTTATCTTCATTCACTACAGATGATTACAGTATGTTTCTCTATCAGTTGCTCATTCAGTAAATATCTCAAAACCTTGTCAGTCTAATTGATGGTTTAGCGACACAATCATGCATGCAAATAATCAGTATAAGCAGTCGAGCAAATCTCCTGCAAACTGAAAACATCAATGTCGAATTTACCCCAACACTGACTAAGGTTCAAGCCATTATCATAGACATGAGTTGGGAGTGTACTCCCCTGGTTACAACTTATGTTCTCCCTGATAATCACATGAGCATCACTCACTATTAATCATCTTGTAAAAACTTATTTAGCTAAATACATCTTGCAGCACCACATCACTTCGTAATATGACACATAGGCTTAACTGATTTTAATAACTTATAACCACTATATCTCAATTAAATCGTATTCCGCCTTATGATAAACTGCATACTTGCAACTAACTTGTATGCCCAATCAGCCGGCAAGTATAAATATAAATAAATAGTCTGCCACAGATCAGAACATTGAGTCTAGAGCATGTCTCTTACGAATACACTCATGTTTAACGATTTGTTCCTAGCTATCTGTCCAAAATTCATATAATTATCACTCACGTATTTAAATTTTGTTTTGATAACCATTCATGTGTATTAGTAGTATTACTAAATTCTATCACGGTCAAGTAAAAATGAGGTTGAGAAAATCTCCCCGTAACTAAATAAACCGTATCAAACTAACTGGAACACTAGTTGGAATTCTTCTCCACGGTATACTTTTGTTCCTTCAGTTAGCCTACTAATACAGATGCAATTGGAATTCAACTCATATGGACAACTTACCGGCATAATCGTTATTTGATTTCATAATTTAAACCAAAACTAATACCAATATTAACATTTCTACAATATTCATTACTTTAATATTTCTAAACACAAAATACTTACTACCTATACGTTAAGTTATTAACCAACGGCTATTAACACGCATCGTTTTATTATTATTATTATTGTAACCCCATTTTTTATAGCTCAAATAATCTTCACCCAAATTTTCATTTTAAGCGTGTTAAGCATGAAGGCAGATTTTTTAAAATTATTACATGTATTTCCCGACCAGATGCTGCCGCCTTCTTTTTGATTTATCTTTCAGCTTACCAATACCCGGAGGATTCTAATTATCCTTGGTAACCTCCGGCGCGCGACGATCCCATCCAATTTGGTATCGAACCAACATCACGTTGATTCTGGTGGGAGAGTAGTGTAGTGGCATTGGACAATAGCCACACAATCCACAAAGCTGTGAACACGAGACTACTCAGAAAATAGATATTCAATATTTAACGCGGAGAAATACCTAACAATGGAGAAGGCGCGAACAATGAAGTGAATGGAGTGGCATGGCTCGGCCATGCAGGCGTGGTCTCTGCTGAATGTTACCTTATATCTTCTATTCATATTAAATATCTTTCTCTAGCCTAACCTTGTTCTACATCATGTATTGGTAATTGATACGATACAGTGAGTTGGTGTAGTCGATGGTGTGACTTCCACGTAAGATCTTATAGATTAGGCAGTTATATCATGACAAATCTACAAATTTAGGATTAGGTCTATTATTAGAGCAGTACTAATACCATAGTAGACCATAGTTCTACAAGTCACAATGGCTGACGACACGTAAGCATTCAAACAGGAGATTCTCTGGATATTTTTCTCGAAGGATGTGCAATGTCACTCGGTTAAACAATCTTAGAATATAAAATATGTGCAAAGTTTATATATTTTGGAGGAAGTCCGACAATGATAATTTATGTGATGAAGTTGTTTGGTGTCACTGAAATACTAACCTATCTACGCTACGACGTGCTGCTGACTCGCAATTCCTTAATGGTGTACATAATATTGTCCCTTTCTCCTTTAAGCATTAATTCTTCAGCGCACAACCCGATCGGTTATTGAGTTCACTATCACCCTAGTGATTTGTCATGTTCCAGTAGATAGGTGTTAATCAGTATTCTGAACAGCCATCAACTCTATCTTAATATAAACAAAATTCGACTAAATCTCAATCGGAAAACCTTTCCTATCTGAAGTCCTGTACACCTCTAGTTGTCCATTTTTCTGTAAGTAGTTAGTAAAGAGTATAAACTGTAAACTTTGCTGAACATTCCGCCCTCGCCGATGTCAGGAAATTGTTGTGAAGCGACATAGTATGCCAAAAGATAATATTATAGACCTGTTCGTCGATTTTGGCGTGATCTCTCGTAATTTTCTTGCACTGTATCTGTCGAACACAGAAATTATACTCGAACGTTAGAACCATTGATGATGAGGTCGGACACAAAACAAATAATCACAATTCATATCGTATTTGATGTATGATGCACAGTTTATAGTTTGGCGGTGTCAATAAGATAAAAACAGTTAATGTTGAGCTAGCTACTTCATCATTATATGTTCATGTTAATGATATTAAAGATGACACAAGTAATTGGGCTTTTACAGCACTCCAACGAGTAAAACTATCTATAATCGAAACGCGCTAACCCAGTAAAATCAAAAGTCAGAATCAAGCAGTTTCGAAAATATATTTGATAGGCTATCGATATGTCGAGAGTTGATTGATCTAAGCTAGCTAGCGTTTGCAGGAAAAGTTAGGCATAGTATACCCACTCGTGATTTGGCACGAAAGCGTGACCGAGCGCCTTCAGCTTGTTCAGTGCATTAAAACTAATGCGGTCAGCATCAAATTACGAAGACGTACAAAGATATTGATTTTGGGGGTTATTTACCGCTACAGATCACTCCACCCCTTTGTTTGGTAATAATGACCCTTAGACGTGGCCAGCCAGAAGTTTAAACCCATCGAGTTTCCAGCTGATAGACACTGTTCTGATAGCTTACTATGTTTTGCAGCGTCTTGTAGTCTTTTTTTACTACAAGGGGCTATGCTGCACAATATAGTAATAAAAAATAAGGTGTAATATAAATTTCAATTCGTCGTAAACTTCGCCGTTCTTTTTTCTTCTCCAGGACGACTGGAAAAGAGAAAAGGTTACGTATACGCATGTCGAATTACACGCTTATATGTGTAGAGACACAAAAAGAGCGAAAAAAGAAAATAAACTCGTGTATATGCGCTTGGTAAACACGCGATAGCGTCACTTTTTGGTATATATATATATATATATATGAGCATATTAAGTATAGAAATCAAGACGAAACGAAGTGATATGTAGTGTCTTACATGCAGTAATCGTTTAGGTGTTATGGAAACCTAACTCTTCTTCCAGAATGCGTTGTCATTAGTCTATTGTCAGATCACGCACAAGTATCACCAAGATTGCTGGCTATCGGATGAGGCATCACAATTGTGGGGCTCATGTCTTTCGATTGTACCGAAGGAAAACAGATATGAATAGCGTTTCCCTCTGAACACGCGATTTTTATGCGATCGATGCTGATGCTATCGTTAGTTCCGTTCTTATCGATTATATGGTACTTAGGTTCGAGCTGAAGAATTTTGAGCGGCATTTCGTATGCTGTTTCGAGAGGCCGTCAAAGTGGGTCGCGCCGTACAATGACGTAAGTACTATATCATAGGGCAGGTAGAACGAATACATTAGTTGATTGAGGTTATGTGAAATTAGGTTTAACCACACTCACGGCGTTTGTAAGCCTTCTCGTGTTAGAGTTTAGATCCGTATTCATTGAAAACGAAGTCTCACGGAAGTCGAAGTTTCGTTCAAGGAACGAATTAAATCGCAGTGTATCCAATGTTAGCTTACACTGCATTGCCAATACCATGTGAAACGAGTGGAAGAGCATCGGTCCACTGTGAAATGTTTGCAGCTAAGAGAGAAGCGCTGAGCTGCCAGTGAAAGCGTTCTAAACACCCGTTTGTTTATGAGTTGTGGGCAGTTCTAAGGAGTCGTGTGATTCCTAATAGTGTAGTCAGACAAAAGAAAAGTTCAAATTCAAACTTGAGTCCATGGGCTATAGTGATAGTTGAAGAGCCGCCGAAGTTCGCTGCCCATCGTTCGACGAAAGCGCGGGCCACTGTTTCAGCAGCAATGCCCTTGATGGGTACTGCTTCTGGCCATCGAGTGAAGTGGTTTACGCAGGTTTAGAGATGAGAGTGTCTTTTTAAATCTGGTAAGGGTCCTACCAAATCCGGATGAACATGGTCGAATCGAGCATCGTGAGTTTTGAGTGAACCCAAGGGACATTTGTTGTGTTTAATCACCTTAGACTTCTGGCAAATTTCACAGAAGCGTGTCAACTTCCTCACGTCCCTATTCATAACAGGCCAGCAAAACAGTGCTGCTATGAGCTTGATGACTGTTCAAACACCTGGGCGAGAAAGCTTGTGCAACGTATTAAAGACGTTGCGTCAATAATATCTCTATGAAAATGGACGATTCCTACGTGTAGATGTGTCGCACAGTAAGGTTTACCGCTACAACAAATTCCGCTGATCATGTGATGAACATGCATAAGAACATTGAAAGTGATTTGAATTGTCAAAAAGTACTAGACTGTTGTGAAGTTAGTGAAGAGAAACACAAAACCAAAGGTTCCATGTTTTTTCTCATTTTCGTCGATGTAAAAATAAATTTGCGGAGTTATGACTGTGCCTAGAGCTTAGGGTTTTCAGAAATCTAGTAAACGGAGGCTAAATACTGTTTTGTCGCAGAAGCTTGATCTGAATTACCTATTTGGTTGCCAAAAGACTTTAGAAAACTAAAATGAAAAACATCTTTCTACTTACATGAGAACAGATAACGGATGCGAAATTCCTCTGACTATTTAACCTAATGTTTATTTGAGTTTACACAATGAAATTTTGTTTTCCATTTGTTGTTAGGCATTTTACAGTTTGTTCGGGTTCATTGCAGCTATACTTCACATGTGCATAGCATTGGCTGTCGATGTTTATTTTTATAAAATTTTTCAGATGCACTCTGTTTGTTTTTGTCTCTTTAATCCAAAGCTTTCGTTTTTATTTTTTACTGCTTTTCTGAGAATATAAGGTAAAGAATATGGGTGTGTATATATATTATAGTAAGCTGTTTGTTATTTCTGAAGATGGTTTTTTACATACAAGTTAGACGTTAATTCGGCGAGTAAATTTTATATTTCTGTTTACTTTGTCTTACAAAGAATGTTTGGATATAATAGGAACGGACAGTAATGCCATGAGAATTTCATCAGACTACCAAATGAACTGAAAAGGTTGCGATTCCTCAATTATTTGAACAGCTAATCCGTGTACTGTGATCATCTACGTAACAGCCACAAGGGAACAATGCACCGTGTAATAAACAATTATATAGGTTGTTTGATGGACAGTGTTCTTTTTATGATTATATTGTAGTGATCTACTTTTATTAACAGAACGCGATTAGTGTAATGAAAATAATTACTATCATAACCAATTGTACCGGGGATTGTTTTACTGTAACTGTTTGTTTAACTGTGCTAAGAATATACATTCTTCTGTTGCTTGTGACCTTGCACGCACTTACGTTTGCTCAGTAGTCCCACTTGTATTCCTTTGGCATGATCTTGGTATTTTTTTTTGATACCACGAGATCCCCAACAAATATATCTCGACTACAGCCATCAACTGCTTTTTGATTCCTGGTTTACTCGGAGGTTTAGCCTGTTCTGGTAAGCAATCGTCTTGTAGTGGTGATTATAGTCAAACGTTACTCGACACCACACTACAATGTCGACTGTACCGACCATATTTAATGTTATACTGCATATGGTGATGTTGGAGAATTAGCTAATATACTGTCAATGAGTGGTTAGTGTGGCGAAAACAGTCAGTGGTGTTTTAGATGTTATGAACCGCTTAATTCTTCGTATTCATGCGCATAATGAGTATACTAAACCAGCATTTTATGACGGGTAACGTGGTATGTTTGTGAGTCGTGATGCGAAAATAGATAGCCACTTATTGCAAAGTTTAATGTTTTGAGTTTCATACATTCTGTTTCGCAAACTACAAAAAGTGCGACGTTAACGTTAAATATTTACTGTTTTTCCGTTACATGTCTTAACGCTACGGCAAAATAACGATGATATTATACATACTGACTGCTGCTCTGAATGTTTGTTTGGGTATTGTTAGTATAATAGCTTGATGTGTAAAGAAAAAATATATATGGAGAATATGGTAGGGTTTGTGGGATTTCTGTAGACTGTTTAGGCATTCGCAGAACCCGAATTGCATGTAAGTAAATGGATAACGAAATCAGGGTGATGTACGCGTAATAAGAATGTCGAGTAATGATTTACCATAACAGAAAACCGTAAATGCAAAGTGGATAGTAAGCATTGTAAAAAAAATGGCAACCATCCTCAATACCTGACCGCGAGATGATTTGACTAAAGCCCAGTGACGCTTCCTTGGTCCTACAAATCCATAGTTGAAAAACACAGCTGAGAACACACACCTGATTATTTTTGAATACACCACTAGTGGGTTTGGATTTTACACACTACAGGACATCAATATTTTGTTGTATTGTGCATAGCATCTAATCGACGTTGACCTCAGGTTTAATTGATTTCGAGATCATTGCTCAGTAATACTTTGAAGTTAATATATCAATAACATGAAGTACCTTTGTGGTTGTGCTAGGACTATTTCAACTGGAGAAGAATGGTGTGACTTACTAGCTTACTGACTTACTCTGCGGTTAATTCTCAGTGGTGTTTGGCTGAGCGTTACCAGCTGTTGGCTCGCCGACTAACACTGTCAATAACGATTCCGAGAAATTACAAGCTGTCAGAATTTTGAAATTATTTATCATCACGTCTCTAACACTTTTAAACATATTAGTCTATTCATCCTTGTTATTTTTTCGATCGGCGGGTTAGAGCAACTGAAGGTCATCCTATTAGTCGCTCAGGTCAGATCTGAGACTCAGGTTTGTGTGGTAAGGACATAACACCTACAGCCTATGTTAGTGCTTTTCTAGAAAGCTGCTGAGAGTGTCTAGTCTTCCTTCGGACGAATCATTTGAAGAGGTGGATACCACTTTGGGTAACAGGTCCCGAAAATTGATGGACTTCCACGGGTATCTACCCTCTGTACTTTTTTGGTGCATACAAGTCATCTTCAAAACAGGGGTTTAAAGCGCAAACGCAGTTTCCAAGTTTGCATCTCATTAAGGTTATGTATACCGTAGTGAACATATTAGTATCCAACTTGGTAAATGTCCGTCTTAGAGCCTATGTTGTAGTAAACCTCTTAGCTGCAAACACGCTCTAGTGAGCCGTAGTCTTAAGATCATGGTTCATTGTTATCCCGAGATCATTATGAGACCGAACTGAGGAAGTGACACTTCACCTATGCTGTATCTATTAACCGTTATGTCCTCAATTTTACATGTAGACACACTTGGCCTCGTTGGTAGGCATGCCACCGTCTAATTTAGTTTTGAGATTTCATATTAACTTACAGGATTCTGGTTAAGTTCACAAAACACATGTAAATTATGTACTCAAAGTAACTAGTGTCCATTTTATTTGTTTATTTGTTTGAACACAAACATTGGTACAAAGAGATACCAAATAGATATGCGCCACACCACCGTTTGGTGTGTATGGGGGTTGGGACACTGTTTGGTCGCTCAAACCGAAGCAGGTGGTTTTACCAAGTGGCCTCTCCCCGAGCCTTTGACCTACAGATCTAACCTACAAGACAATGAAGCAACGTTAGCAGATGCAGTCCCATGGTAGCCGGTGACCAACAATAGGCTCATAAACCATTTGTCCCTTCAGGATCCTGAAGCCCATGTACACCATTGGTTTGGAATCAGGGTTTTTCAACTCCCCTAGGTGTATCCTCCGTACCCACCAAACCGGTTAGAGCGCCGAACATCCTCTTTTCGTCCTTTCAATTTCGTAAACAACACCCTCGCCGAGAGAAGGCAGTGATTAGGACTTCCCTGTTAGTGGCTGTATACACATGACCATGTAAGGGCATTTCGAAACTTCCCCCACTCGGCCGTACCAGGGTATTTGAGTACATTTGTCCACCATATATAGAGTGGTACATATGAGACAATAGAAAATAAATTCGATCATATCGAGCTTTGTATTATGTGACGGGTCAGAAAAGGCCATTGTAGTGCAGGGACATTTAATCCTTATTTTTGTATCTTGGATCCTAGCACTTATTTTTTATCACTTTATTTCACGTTTCAAAACATATTCTTTGAGTCTTTAGGCTCAAAGTAAAGCTATATTTCCTTGCACATAATACCCAATTTTTCTACAGAAATTTATTCTTTATACTAGTGTATTTTGGCGTCCAGGACTCGCTGGTATGCTGGAAACATTGCATTCTTAATCGGTTTATGGAAGCTCTCTATAGCGGTTTTCTCTTCTAATAAATCTTGTATGACTTGGGGCTTGTTGTTGAGATCTATCGTGAATTTGCCTTAGCACATCTACTTTTGCATGTGGCGCGTTTCCCTCTTCGTGACTGGAGTACAATAACCGCTTTCCGAAAGTCCGTCTTTTTTGTCCAGCTTGGTCAGAGTCGTCTATTCCAAATACGGCCAGATTTTATTTTATTTGTACCAATTCTTGAAGGGCCGTCATGACGCCCCACGATTTTCGGACATTTCACATATTTATTTTTATTGTTTCCGTGGTTGTCAAAAGGGGAGTTGGGCTTGTGACTTCGGGAGATTTCCGGCTTTCGGCATGAAAGGGATTATAGTTTCTACATAAAGCCCTTTCAACTCTCAGGGCAGAGTTATATTGTTCACCTCTGATGATCTTTTCCACAGAAGTTTCACAAAGTGAGTTTACTAACTCTAACCCAACCCTGCTTTACGCGGTCTTGGAATGGGCAGTAATCCTAAACAGTCCCCAGGCGACGTATCTCACATATTATTAAATTACCCATTATTACGTTGTTTAATATTGTCAAAGGATCTGACTTCTGGGGCTACTCACCAAGTGGCAAGTTGCGCGTCCTGAAAAAACACTATATTTGAACTGTTTTCGGGGTAAATGAATCACCCAGCCAGAGTTTATGTTTAACTGTATTATTACCGTTCCTTAATAATGCTTCTCATTTAATAGAAGAGTTCTCAAAAAATTATCAACAAACTAACTCGAAATAGATATTGTAGGATTTAATTTGTCTTACAGATATTCTACTAGAATTGAATACAGAATCCAGCTTGTTGATCTGGAACTTGGGCATGTAATGTTTCTTTCATTCGGTTCTACAACACTTGAAAAATTTCCCCGGTATTGATAGTAGTATGGTGCCTCTCTAGTTCATATACTTTCTAAAATCTCCATGTTTTGGTATCTTTATGAGATATTCTTCCCAGTCTGTCGGCACTCATTATTCCTCCCAAATCTTTCTAGATAAAACGTTGAGCATGTTTGCAGTTACTTATATGTCTGAATTTAGTGCCTCGGCTGGTATAGTGTCAGGTCCTACTGTTTTAACGCTCTTGATTTGTCTGATGACCATTTTGATTTCTTCTGTTGTTGAAGGTCTGTAGGTGCTGCTTCGATATCTGGTGTATTTAATGGGGCTCGCCTATTCAAGAGTTCTTCGAAGTATTATATTACCCATCTGTTCCTCTGTTCTCGAATTTCGGTGATTGTCTTGCCTTGTTTGTCCTCAATCGGTCTCTATGGTTTGCTATATTTCCATGCTAGTTTCTTCATTGTGTCATGTAGTTGTTTCATATTTCCTTATCTTGCAGATATTTCTGCTGTCGTTGCTAGGTCTTCCGCATATTTCCGGTTATCGGCTCTAATGCTCCTCTCCACTTGCTTGTTTGACTTCAGTGCTTCAGCTGGTATGTTGTCTGGTCCTGCTTCTTTTCCACTCTTGATAGATGGTAATAAATAAATCATGTAGTCATTTCGTATACATCATTAATCTTTCATGTTATTAACCTACAGTGACGGCTGTAGCGATGTGCCTCCCACTCATTAATATCGTTAGTTTGGAAGGTATCTTGTTGGCTCTCGCATTACTATCCAAGTAACTACTATAGTCGGCAATTTAAACGCATTATATACTTGTTATTTAAGTGCTTTTCAAAAGCCAGGATAAATTTACTGGCTATCTTGAAGCAGTAAGGTGTCTTCAATTTTTATTATTAGTTGCTGTACCACTATGTCCTCCCAACTTACCTCATATCTGTGTCTATTCTGATTTAGGCCTTAGTGCGATGCGAAGACATGGAGATCAAGACTTCTCGCCCCCGTCGAAGCGACACAGAGATCGATCAGGATATTCAGAGAGACATCGATCGGTATCTCGAAGCTCTCCTAGTTCGAGGTCTAAGTATTCTCTCTCAAATAGACATTCTTCAAGACCGAAGAATTCGGAAGGAAGAACTCATGGGTTAGATCATTCTAGAACTATATGTGTAAGAAACATTTCATCTAAGTTGAGTGCTGATGTTGTTGAACAATGTGTGTACCGGGAACTAGGAAAGTATGGAGACCTTTCTATCAATGTTGGGCATTTGGGTGGCGAACGCGTCGCTCTGGTTACATATCAGTAAGTTTTTCAGGTACACATTAATTAACTCACATAAACAAACAGTGTTTTTCTAAACATTATTCTGAATCTACATTGTTTTTGACGGAATTTTTTTCGTTTCTGTACTACAGTAAAACTGGTCCAAGGAGCCTTTTATAACGTAGGTTTATTGTTAAACTTTGTTCAATCTTTGATTAGCAAAATTTAGTTTTAGGATTAAACCATGATGAGTTTGGTGATAAACTTTGAGCTGATTAAATTTCCTAAATCAATTCATTTGAAACTCATTTATCAAGAACAATTTTATTTATTTGGCTTTAAGCCATACTTTGCTAAAGCTATAGTTATACTACCTAGTTGTACAAATCGAAGTAACTAAACTGAAGCTTGAACAAGTTTTTTAGTGGTTGAGAGTCAAACACCCTAAGCGTCAAGCTACCACTTTACAGATTCCTTTTAAGATACTTCGATAGCTAATCAAAGCATGATGCTTCTCCTGAAATAACAAACACACATCCAACTTCTTATTTCATGCATGCCTTATACGTGTTAATAAACTTACTGTGTCATTCATTAATGCGTAATCAGGATAGAGATGGTTTGTCATGAAATGAGTTACTGTACAATGATTATTCGACTCGTCATTCGGATTGAATTAGCCAAATGAATTTGTAGACGTGCTGTAAATCAAGTAGTAAGTAGCGAAATGGATATCCCTTTGATAATACAATTAGATAAAGTAATTGCAAATCAGCTACTTTCCAGATCTATCCCGATATTTCATTACTAGTGTGTTTTTTACTTTTGTGACAAGCAAGATAGACTTATTCATAAGAGGAGGACTTCAAAAACACATTGCACCCATGACTAAAAGAGAAAATGAGGAGGAAATAAAATACATACCTACACAAAAATTATGGGCTAAAAGTGAAAAATATCTAAACTTGGAATGTTTTGTATGTCGAAGATAAAGAGTTAAGGTATCCAGACCACTATAAACGGTTTGCGGTTTGTCACCTAGGCTCTAAAACCACTAGTTCCTGTCACTCCTCTTAAATTTGAAAGCGAGACAGTGATTTCACAGGTCGCTACCCTGTCTTGTTCTGCCTACTTTTAATCCTTTTCCAATGATTCTACTTCAACCAACATCGCTTGTAGTAGACTTAGCCGGTGTACGTAAAATGCTTTATTAGTCAGCCATAAGGTTGTTCATCTCGACCACGCTTTAGCTACTTTAATTTAGACAACCAGGTTTTATCGGTATTCGCCACACAGGAAGTGTGATTTGAAAATAAGTATATAAACCTGTACTTGATTAAAAATGTAACCTACTGGATATCAATACAAGTCAGATTTCAAGAGTTGAATAACTAGTGTAAGTACTTTTAAAATTTAAATAAAGCAAGAACAAACATTGATGCAGAATAGTATGAATTCATATTATTTCGAGGTTTCTCGTCAGCTGCTTACAAACCAAAATTGTGATAGAATTTTTACATGGAGATAGTGTGAAACAATTGACATAAATGAGTGTAAATAACTTGATTACAATAATAACTATATATATATATGCTAGAAACAGGTCAGAGGTCAAAGTTATTTACACTCATTTATGTCAATTGTTTCACACTATCTCCATGTAAAAATTCTATCACAATTTTGGTTTGTAAGCAGCTGACGAGAAACCTCGAAATAATATGAATTCATACTATTCTGCATCAATGTTTGTTCTTGCTCTATTTAAATTCATAAAGGGAACCAATTGCAGGAACTTTTAAAATTATAGGATGATTCCACTGGTCGTACTACAGTTACGACTGCAAACAATCATGGTACGAAGCTTCGGAACAACCGTTTGCTAAATAAGCCATAATTATAAAAGATAATGTATGTAATGCCTAAAGGCTTAAAATTCAGTAAGGTGTGTGTTAACTAATCATACATGTTGTCCTTACGAGTCACAAATGGACTGATGTGAATAAGGATTTCAAGAATTTAATACGCGATTCTCGGCACAAGACTTGAAGTATAAATTGAACTTATGCATAACATAAATTACGCTTCATATAACGTCCCAGAATAGATATAATTACTTGTTATTAGTTTAGCGTTATGAAAACTGTTATCACTATTTTCCAGTGTCATGTATTATTAACTTTTTATCTTCAGATATTCTGAAGACGCACAAGAAGCTCTTTGTGATAGCCCAATAATTTACATACTTGATCGTCCTGCAAATGTTACCTCATTAATTGATATTTCTAGTGAAGGTGATACGCGTAAAGTAATTGCCAGCAAAAAACGTCAAGAAGGAATGGAAGCCGAAGATATTAATGACCGACGACATCTTATGCACAATATTCCCGGCAAAGTAGAGTCCGCTTTTCCTGATTTTTTACCTAAACCAACTCCACTAGGTCCATCAGGTACTACAAGCCTACTTGGTATGCCTGGAATGGCATCTTCTGCCATGATGGCTGCTGCTGCAAAGGCTCTTGGTCTGAATGCTGTCCCTGGGGTGTTACCACCTGCACAGTTAAATGCAATCACTTCTCACAATCGCTTTGGCTCTGCAAACCTTCGACACTATGAACATAACAGAAGTGGATTCTCTCCTGGAGCATCTGATTCAGAAAAGGAGTCAAAAGCCACAAGGACTTTGTTTGTTGGAAGTTTAGAACCAGACATAACGGAAAAAGAGGTACTCTCAGCTTTTGAGAGGTATGGTTATGTTGAACAAATTGATATTAAGCGTTCTCCGAAACCTGGTGCCCATTCTTATGCATTTGTACGCTTTCAGAATGTTGATATGGCCAGTCGTGCAAAAATGTCCATGTCTGGTCGTTTTATTAGATCCTTACATTGCAAGATAGGCTATGGTAAAGCGATTCCATCGCACTGTCTGTATATTGGTGGATTAGAATCTTGGCCTTCCGCTGATTCACTGCAGCGTATGCTTTCTCGTTTTGGACAACTAACTTATCTTGACTGGTCCCCTAGACGTAAATATGCAATCGCCATTTATGACAGCTGTGAATCAGCACTCGAAGCTAATAGACAATTAAAAAGTCTCTCAGCAACCAGTCGTCCAAATTTAAGACTTCGTGTAGATTTTATAAACCCGGAATTAATCCAGCCAAAGCCACAGATTTTAAACAAGACGGACTCTAACATGGAAAGTGACAGTCAGGACAATCAAATGTCAGAATCACGAAATGCTATAATTAGGTCTGATACTGGAATTCCTATAACTGCAAATAACTATCGTATTCGAACAAATGAACATTTTGATGGAGGGCCGTACACGATGAACCAGTATTGCATAGAGGATCACGCCGGTGATAAAAATCTCACTAATGTACGACACATACCTTATGCAAAACCATCTTTTCATATATCTAATCGGTATCACACATATAATCGGAACACACCTCGCTACTCGGACAACCACGGTATACTCAGTCCAGTAGAAGATATTCCATGTAACCTGAAATCAATCGTCACTCTCCAAGAACTAGACCAGCATCTACAACCGGATTTATGGAAAGGAAAGTTCTTATTAAAAAATAACCATTTTTATTTTCGTTGTTTGATGTTAATAGGTAATAAAGATATCAGTCAAGACTTACTGGATTATAGAGACAATAACAGTAATTCCGAACGACTATGTAGTCCGACTTTACGTATTTCACGCCGAGGCACTCTTGATGCTTCATGGATGGCTGAAGCCACGCATCGTATTCATAATGTACTATCCACAGCTCGTCATAATTTATGCCTCATGCTAATATTACCCGATATGGAGCAAACTAATAAGTATCTGGACAAGGAATCTAAACTGAATAATCAGTCGAATACTGAAAGTACGGATGTAAAAACAACAATAAGTCATTGTTTTTCACTACACGCTTTAATTGCTTATTTAAAATTAAAACAATCAGCTGGTATAATCTGTCCAAATGAAGAAAAAGTACTACAAGAACCATTGAATACTAGTTCCGAGAAAACAACTACAACACGACGTTCATCTTTGATAGTATATTTATTTGCACCAAGCAGTTTTGCATTAAGTTTACTAAAACAAGCAGCACCTTGCTTAAGTTCAGACTTGGCAACAACAAGTGATTATATGATTCTTTTAGCATTAAAGCGGTAATATAAAAAACCCCTTTGATCTAGGCAAAAAACAACACACTTTGATTTCTTATTTTCTTTATTTTGTACAAATTTATATGTATGTAAGCATTTTTCTTTAATTCACTTGTTTATTTATATTGCTATTCAGTTCGAAATTAAAACAAATCGTTTCTGTGAATCATAATCCTATAATGTTGTATATGTAACAATTTGGTATGTTTTGTCTTTTTCGGTTAAAACCAAATCGAAAATAACGCTTAGATATTGGTGTTCAAAATTCTTTATAACAACTTTAATAAAAAGAATTAAGGTTTTGACAAACGGACACAACTTTAAATTTAAACAACCGATATTTAAACAATATTTGCAAAGTTGTTTCATTTATGTTATAAAATATGTAAAATAAAATGGTGTACAAGTAAAAGTTGTTCAATTATCACCATAATCACAATTTCTATTAATTAATAAATTAGTGAAATCAATTAGTAAGAAAATACTTTATGATTAGTATATATATTATCGCCAAATTTTTATTACACCATCCATTGAAGCAGAGACTAGAAATGCTTGACCTGCTTGAAGAACAGTTAAATCAGATATAATATTCTTATGTCCTTTGGTTGATTCACGTAATTCTAAACGTCCTGACACAGGGAATGCACTATTTGATACTTCTGTTATATTACTTGATGATTGTAATTTTTGTGATATTTCTGTGTACATTGTTTTTGTTAACAAACTACTTGATGTATCACTAACGGAAGAAGTATCAGTTTGTTCAATCAAAACATAGACATCATTTACATATGTTGACCTATTAACAATAGAAGAAAATGATCATTTTTCTGGAAAGCTTTTTTAAAAGAAATATATATAGTATTAGTTTACTTCCTGTGTGACAATGAAAGTATATTTATGTAGAAACATTTTTTGTTGTTGAAAAAAGTAGGTTATTTGTCATCTTGGTTAGGAGGGTGGCAAAATAAAAATACACCAGTCTATAAATTCAATGAGTCTTGGTCTAAATCACGCTAGTAGACGCAGACTACTTGGATAAGGTCCACACGGCAACCGCAATCACTGTGGCTGAAGACGTTGGTTGACATAGCTCAGAACCTATCACAGTGGTTCAGATCCACTAGCTCTTTATCTTACCCAAGATTTCTGGTCCCAGTATTACTCATTTATACATACCTCTATATCCTGTTTTTCGAACCAAATTCTCAGTATTTAGTATTTTTCAATAAAACTGAAACTACAATAACATGACTCGTCACTAATCATCTTGTCGTGCTAGTGGGGTATGACAATTTGAGCTAATGAATATTTGTCTCAGGCTTCATGTTGATTCTAACTATTGAATGACACTGTTACTCTATTCAGGTCAACTTTTAGTGAAATAGTTTACATCCCATTATTGATGATAAATATTTTTTCAAAACTATTCACATTTTCTGTCTTATTTCACACAAACAGCAAGAACATTTTTAAGACGAGTTGCACAGTACTATTGCCAACTGGTTCGTGATTTATTAGCCAAAGCTAATGCATACCAAATTATCATTTCCATCAATAGATCTCCAGTGTTACATAGATTGCTTAGCGGATATAGTATTCGGTACTATTAAATCACTAGTTCATAAATCTAGCTAAACAGCAAAGCAGAGTAGAAGTTCGCAAGTGAATTGAAGAATATCGATACGGAAAACCAATGTGTTGGTTTTGTTTAGTCATTATGATAAGCACAATTTCCATATGGGGATTTCAACTCGTGTAAACAACTCAACCAATTATGGGCTTTTATTCAAGTAAACTGTAGCATACTATTAAAGTACTATGATTCAGTGATCAGTTTTTACATTATAGTGTATGGAACCCTATATCATAACTAAGCTTCGATGACTTAACCCCCACTTATGAATCGTGGTGCCAAACGGATAGTGAGAAAGGCAAAACATTCGGAACAAATGAGACGAAATTACACCTTTGATAATGTATATTTATTAGCATACTTGTAGCTATTTCTCTACTTAAAGTTCTGGAGTGACGTTCAGTCTAACTCAAGGCGAAATTAGAATTGAACAATTAAAAATGCTTTCATAGAGCTGATTCTCGGATTTTTTAAAATCCAGAGGGATTGGTTAAATTATTTTACGGAGTACAGAATCTTACGTTAAACCAGAAAATACATTCAATGTTGTTGGTAGGATGTATGAACATTCATATTCACATCAGCGTCCTGGATATAAGTTCATCTTAAATGAATGTCACTGTGTCACTGAATATAAAATGACAAAAACCAATTTACCGGTAGGTAAGTCGAGGAGGCGTCGATTCATCAATCCCAGCCCAAACTAAAACACACGAATCCTCTGGTTTTCGGAAGTTCCAATACCGTAAACGTGCATCATTACCACCGGCCACTATAGCTGGTAAATGAGTAACTTGAGAATGGGGTTTGTTATGTTCATTAAACGGTATAACATTGTTGTTAGGAAGGCACAAAATTGATCGGACTGATCGATGTGGTAAAGAACTATCAAGAACAAGAGGTGTTTTATTTCCTGGTTGAGCCCACGTCGAAGCTAAACATCCTGTACTGCGAACTGGTGCGAAAGAACCGGGGAGCCCATAGTTACAGGATGAAATAGCTGCAGATGATGACGCTGTGGCTGAGGACTCCAAGTCCCAGATTGTCACTTCATTATGATGGTCGGTTGCAGCAATAATCTATTAAATAAAATTTTAGAGGTTAGATTTATAAAAAGTTACAGGTCACTGTAAATAAAGCTTTAAAATTCCAAAAAGACATTTTGTCGACAAATGAAGAAATCCAACCCTTAATCATACAGTTCTTAACAGACTACTACTACTTCATCCATTTCGCGTTTTTAAGCAGATAATTTAATGGTGTTCGTATCTCATGTGTGGATGACAAAAAGCGCTGATAACAAACTAGTAAGTTCGAGGAACGAACGTAGATTTGGTGCATCGTGTGGGGTAGGGATTTTATTGATAGCCTGAATATTTCCAGCATCAGAGTGGAATTCTAAACTATCAAATATCAATCCGAAATACTTCACAAATCGTAAATAAAGGTGACGCTTTTTCGATCATAACCGGAATCAGTGTTTTTTGATGCGATTTAACACAACTGTAGTTCTGCTATGTAATTCTTTTAGTTATGTTGCCGCTACAGGTATATCATGCAAATAAAGAGCTACTCTTGTAATCCCGGTTAGAATGGTGTTCATTAGTTGTTGGAAAATTATTAGTCCCATCTTTATCCAAACGGTAGTTGATTATATCGAAAATCCAGATGAGTGTTTACCATCAGTAATTCCTGGTATGAAGACTCAACCTCTGTCTGTAGGTAAGACTCAGCTAAGTCTGAGTTTACAAAATAGCTTCCACTATTCGGAATAGTAAACAGACCATCCGGACCTGATGAGGTATCATGATGTTGCTCCAGAGCACCATTCAATGCCGCTAAAAAAATTGTTCAGATACGCAGTGAGCCATTTGGTTGCTTGATGACAACTATGGGCTTTGCTTTGGCTGAAAATAATAATGGTGTTCGTAACATTGACTTGGCATCGTAATACGGTACAAGTTACTCTTCATCTACGGCAAAAAACATGTGCTTTATCCTTGATTGTCATATGAAGAGATGCAACTCCAACGTCTAGAAAATCAGTGTTTCAGTGACCAGTATTATTCTCAGCCAAGAAAATAACATTGTAGAGTACACCGCTATTTACCAATAAGGCCTCTAAAATAAGAAAGGTGTTATTCCAATCACACCTTAATTAACAATTTAGACAGTTGACATGCATTACCCATCAATGAAAGATATGCGTAAGAACCACCAGTTGTTAGAAAGGTTTGGAAAACAATAATCCTGAACGAGCGAGAAAACATTATGACTCTCTAAATTAATTCCAGAGGTCTCGTAGTATAGTGACTCAATATTATATCTTAAACTAACTTAGTACGATGTAATTCTATCTAATAGATTCCGATCGAAGGTTTAGGATCTGGACGTAGATGTGTTGGTTAAATTGTTACACTGACAAAATTCTAAAACAGGTATGCATACCGACGCTCGACTTCAGTCATTACTTAGCCTGAATGCGACGCTGTCTACCAAGAAGTCTCGTGGCAGTGTTCGTAAATTGAATCAGTGTCAAAATTGTTTTACATCTGAAAGCTCTACTTTGGAACATTATTGATCAGATCAGCGATAATGCCAAACAGTAATCTAAATTAGTAATAGTAAGTGGTGTTCGATAGATGCCTCTCTAGAAATAACACATTTCAATTTTCAGTAGTCGACCATCTATTTAAAGATCCAATCTTCAACTTGGAGTACGTGGATCATATAGTTCTGCTTGATGTAGAAATCTGACAAAATTCAGTCTTATAAATGCTCCGAATTATATTTCAAAAAACACTTGGGATAAGTTCTTACTGCTCAAAATTTATGAAAAATATCTTGTCGAAGATATTTTCACCTAAGGACACCGTCATATCACAAAAAAAACTTACTAGTTTGTCCCAAAATCAGAACCCTGTAACTTTATCTTAATGTAGATGTTCCTCTAAAACGAATTTAGGCAGTGCAATACAAATATAACATGACATCATCCATGCACAGACCTTGTATAGTACGGTAATGGTCAAATAGCTTTTAGTTTTTATCATGTATCATATTTCATCCATAATGCAGGATATCAAATGAAATTAACAACTTACCAACGTTTGTCCTACTTGATATGACTTTTCGGATGACTGAGGTAGATTTTGACCAGCATACTTTCTATCCAGTTCAAACCGAGAATGAGTTTCAGCTATTTGTAAATCTAAAATACCTATACCTGGTTGGTATGGATGTTCTGTATAAGCTATCTGACGTTTATATCTTAAATCCCAACATATAAGATGTCCACGACTGGTTCCTGTAACAAGCCATGTATGAAAACTATGTACTACCATCGAAAGTATTAAACCTAAATAAGAGATGAAAAATATTTGTTAATTAATAATATATCAAAAGATTACAAGATTCAACTTACGAAAGCATGATAATATATTCCCATTAACATTAAGCAATTAATCTCGACTGATAGTTTCTACTTCGACATTACCAGAACTTTCTGTTTCATTCGCTTAAATTTCTAATCCTGTTTGCTAACCAAGTACAAAGGATTTGTAATTATCTCTAAGTCATACCCATAGTGTAAGAGCTGATGAATTGTAGACTGGAAAGTAGGTAAATCAGAATGAGAACAGAGGACTCAGTGGTTCAAAGTCAAACTATGGCTCTACCACCAAACTCATCCAAGTGTACTAGTTGAAGAATTTTTCTTTTGAAGTTAGAAGACAACGTACTTTTACAGAGTTTATAGATTTTCACAAAGGTGGTGAAAAACGGGGTTCGAACCCAAAGGCCAAAATTTCGAGTAATTCTGACTTATCATGGTGACAGGAAGGCAAGTAAAACAGACTAACTAAATGAAGTTTACATCTCACATTCACTAAGCATTTCCCATGTTATACAGCAGGGTGAAAATAAAGCTTGACAGAAAAAACAATTGACTACATACTTCGTTGATCCCGGATATATATATCTCTGTTTAATTTCGTACACATTCAATGACTTATTACGTTTACGCAATGCAAAGTCGAAATTCCGATTAAAAATGCTATTAGAGAAATCATAATTCGGGCAATCGTTTAATCAGATAAACCAATCTAGAAGACAAACACACGCAGATAGGATTGGTAACAGTCAAACTCGATTTAATCAAGAGTAATTTTGACAACACAAAGTAAATAATATGTAAAATACCGATAAATAATCAGATAAACAAATACAAGTATACAAATAGAGATGTAGACAGATGATCAAATGTCTGAGCTAAGATAAGGTAATCAATGGATGAAGTTTTAATGACCTATTTATTTAACATGCCTTTCTTTTAGTTAGTAAGTGTATATAAATCGATGAGGCCCGTTACAAGCTTATCCTCATGTACTACAATGCAATATAGGAAACGATTAAGATACGTCAACCAATATGAGAGAAGATGAATTCAGAATAAACGTGTGATAATCCAGTATATTACCATAACTCATATGAATTGTTTTGATGTCAGTGCGTTCTCTGAGCCAGCGTAGTTTAATTGTAAAATGTTTATTGCTTTATCTAGACATCATCAGTATAATCCTCAAGGTGTAGTTATACTGACTGGAAAGCTCATTTTACTTGGAACAGATACGTAAAAAATATATTCACAATAAGAAGTCAAATGCTGAATTTATCATTGAGCCTATACCCTAAAGCTTACATCACGGGTAAAATCTTAACTCTAATTAAATAAAATTTGTGCCATATGATATTACTAATGATAATTTTATAGGATAAGTAGTGTGAAATTTAATTCATTTCAATGAAATTTATCAGAAAAAAAATCCATTTCCGTAATCAAGTACACATACGTTTGATCCAACTAGCCTGAATTAAACAGTGTCAGTCTAATATGAAGAAATTAATAATTAGATTAAAAACTGTAACCTAATGACTAATAGTTAGATATGTAAACGACGCTACTGAGCAACAGAAAGTAAACATGTTTGTTATATAGCCTTAATAGATGGGAAATGATATTATCTAGGGAATAAATTAAAACAGTGTAAAGCTGAATAGTTTAAATCGATGTTGTTTTAATTATTTATCAATGTTTTCACTAAATTTCATAGCTTTTAAAAAATATATTATTCACATTACAGTTTATTTCTTACCATGACTTCTGTCTTGTTTTAAAATCCATATAGGTGAACTAGAATTTGGCACACGTAAATCACGTGCAACAATTTGATTACTAGTTGTAGCATAAGCAATTGAATTAGTATCACTTCCACCGATCATAACTTGATTTACTAAATTGTACTGAGAAGGAAAATGACAACATGTTGATGTTTTTAAACATACAGCGCGACCAGAATTATTTATCTTTAATTGACTTAGTCCATTAGATTGCCCAGTAGCTACATCAATTTGTTGTAACCATTTTCCATCAAGTATGGTAACTAAACAAGATCCATTCGATGTCCATACAAGACTCTATAAAATAAAATAATTTATTTTCTATGAAATCCAGTGCAGAGAAGCACCTTTAAAAGAAACTAATGGTATTCAAAACAAATCATATTGCAATTTGAATGCTTGAAATTTTTAATCCTTTTTACGATGAATATTTTCGTAGACGTTTTTTTGTTGTTGCTTAAAACAGTCTAAGTACATTGCATTTAAATAAGTTAAATGCTATGCATAAATGATGGTACAAGAAGATGAAACTTCACTGAGCACATTTCAAGAAAGGAATGAATGCTGATAATACTTTTAAAATTATTTGTGTACTACTAAGCATGTTCATCTCTGTTGACATTGTATCTAAAAAATCCCCCGAATGCCCTGGTAACTGCCAAGATACTAAATAGTCTCTACAGCAAGATTTGGGACGAAGAACAAGTACCAAAAGACTGGAAGGAAGGACTTCTGATCAACATACTAAAGAAAGGCGATCTCAGCAACTGTGATAACTACAACCGGCGGCCTGCTTGAATATCTGGGCTACCTGTTCCTCCGATCTAGATATTTCATCAAGTTATCTGTTTTGTTGTTTGTTTTAGCACATCACCATGTCTATTGTGCGCACAACCTATTCAGGCGCGTTTATGAAAAGTTTACAACCTTTCGCTATACGGGATACAAAAAGGTACAATCAGCGACATCATGGTGGCTGGCAATATGCATTGAAACAAATGAACAGTAATCAAATATGGATTACCGAACTTCTAACATCTAACTGGTCATCATTCAAAATTTATCGTCACAATCGATCAAGGTATAAGAAAAGGAAACTTGTTGAAATACTTTATGCTGAGAATTCTATGTTGTACCAAAAATATAATGTTGAATATAGCTAATAATAATAATAATAATAATAATAATAATAATAATAATAATAATACAGGGGCATCACTCTTTCAATACCAGGAAAAGTCTTCAACAGGGCATTGTTAAACAAAATGAAGGACTCCGTGGATCCCCAACTTCGAGACCAACAGGCTGGATTCCGTAAGGATCGATCGTGTACAAATCAAATCATGACACTACGGATCATTGTGCAACAATCAATTGAATGGAATTCATCATTCTACATCAACTTCATGGACGCCCCCGAATGCCTTGGTACAGCCGAGAGTGAGAGGAGTCATCTCTCCCTCTCGAAATGCTCTCACATGGCCACGCGTATATAGCCTGTACCAGGGAAGTCCTACTCACTGCCGTCGTCGTGGCCGGGGTGTTGTTTACGAAATAAAGAGGACGAAAAGCGAATGTCCGGCGCTTTAACCGGGTTGGTGGACATGGAGAGTCCACCTAGGGAAGTTGGAAAACCCCGATTTCAAACCAATGGTCACATGGGCTCCAGTATCCTAAAGGAACAAATGGCGTATCAACCAATCGTTAGTCATCGGCTACCATGGGATTGCATTTCCTAACGTTGCTCCATTGCCTTGTGGAGCCAAAGGCTTGACCACCTATTTCGATTTGGGCGCCCCGGTAGTATCCCAGCTCACATAAAACTGAATGATTACTTTATATGAAGCACATATATATTTTCGTGCTCCTTCGCACAAATCTTCATTTGTTTAAATAAATAAACAGATAAGATCGTAACGTATTAGCCTGCTCGTAAGACCCGCAAACATTCTATGAATCTCGAACTATGAACAAATCGAAAAATGACAAAAATGATTAGAATTTTACTTTGAGGTTAGTTTTGGTATAAAAATCAGAAGTTGTTAGTATGGCTTATATATAACCAAGAAACAAATAAGAAAGATTACAAAATACGTTATAATTTAATGATAAGTATGTGAATTTAATGGAATTCATAGTTTACTTCACGTACTAACTTTGAATAAACAATCACTGAACAGATATTGGGTATTATGGAAATTCGCAGCAACGCACATCTACAACCTACCTCGCTAGGAGTTAAATTTATGACCCTCATCAAGGTTCTATAATTATAATGAAATAATCGATCAAGCGGAGTTTTGTTGCTTTTATCATTTCGTTACCCATACTTACTCGACATATTTTAATAGATGAATCAGTTGAGTCTTGTCCACTACAATTAAATGTCCAAGATGATCGTGTAGGTAAACAATAAGCTAACCCAAGTTCTGGATTTTTTGAATTAGATGATTTTTGGACTAGTTCAGATGTTGCACTGTTAACACGACTAGAATGATTACCGGTAGTTGACTGGTCTAAATAACCATCAGATTCAGTCGGCCAGAATCCACAATTCCATAGTTTTACCGAGCCATCCCCACTGGAACACGATGCAAATAGTCGACCGGAACTATGAGTTGCTAAACTGTAAAAGTAGGAAAAAGATTAAGGATGGGAATTTCTGTTCAGTTATATCAAGAAGTTAATAGTGATTAGAATGATAGGGATTGTAATTGTAGATCATACTATACGTAAGCAATAGATGAAAAGTGTCTAAAAATTGAGTGGTACATGACAGTTTTCTCGTTTGATTCTGAAACTTTTCAACACTACAAACCAATATGAGATCACGTAATTGAACTTGTGATTCCCAACACATCAAACTATCGATTATTTAGACCGAATTTCAATGCCTAACATCTATAAAAGTAGGATAGTTTAGTGAGTAAAAAGGCTAAACGTATAGTAAAGTAAGTTATTCTCTTATCCTAGAGTAATCAATTACTCAAGAAAAGCATAATGTCTCATTAGAAGGTGAAACAGATTAGTAAATGAAGCTTTAAAAATTAACACAACACAACTTATAACATAAATTGCGTTTCAGATGAAGTGCAAGTGTAAACAGACGGTTGGTAGTAAGCGAGTAAAAACTGGAGCTAGATAATTAACTTGCCTCAACGACCATATTGAAACATCATCGGCATATTTCAACCAATATGACACTGATTACTACTCAGTAGCTGATTATTGTAAACATAAAGGTCCTACAACATGTCAGTCAAAACGCGAATGCGTCAATGTTCAAATTTCCAACTGTTTCACCGAATGACGAAAATTGAGATCTCTGAGGAAGCATGAGTTCCCTGAAAATTACAAAAATGTCTTGCCGACAAGTGCTAACCAGCACAAAACCTAAGTCTAGGGACCCCCCTCAACTTATTAATCTAACGCGAAACGTGCTTTAAAAATCATAGGATACAGAAGTGTAAAATAGCTGGATGTTTGAGTATAAGTGGCATAGAAAATATAAAGTATCAAGAAAGCATATTAGGCTGACAGTAGTTAAGTAGGAGAAAGAGATACAGAGAATAAAAAAGGTTATTTACTGGAACAAAGATTACTACAAATTACAGTGCCTATAAAATGAAAGATAAGGATTATTGTTTCATTGTAGAACTCTTAACACTAAAGTTATTTATTTGAGTTACTCAAACACTAAGAACTATTGCCGTAAATAGGATCAATATCAGATGGGTTTTGTGGATATTATAGTAATTTCAATGGTTAAGATCATGAGTCAGTTGAAGCTAGACCACCATGGGAAACCTGGAAGCACTGGACGGCCGTTTCGTCCTATTGTGGTACTCATCAGCAGCGCGCATCTGCGACCTCGCCCCCTGCGAGATTCGAACCCATGACCTACTGGTTTCACGCGCTAGCACTTAACCATTAGACCACTGAGCCGGATTTCAACGGTGTTAATGTCTAACTTCAACCAATCCACGAAGTTGCGCCAACGTATACCATTATCTTCAGTGAGCTGATATCTCACAACAGACCTGGTTGAACTCCACTGGTCACTACTTCTCAGTAGAACTCCAGGATATACCTCGTGAAGCCAGTCACTAGTGAGCATATGTTGATTAATATCAGATGGGTTTTGTGGATATTATAGTAATTTCAATGGTTAAGATCATGAGGATCAGCATATCAATTAACTATTATTATTGATCCACGTTTTTAAATGAGGTACATTATAACAGCTTGAAGTAATCCGATTCAGACAAAATTATGAGCAATAATGTAGGTTAAAACAAAACTATGATAAAGACCAACACATGAGTGAATGACCGAATTTACACCTCAGAACAAGAACTACATGAAAACAACATGGAGGTATTTACTATGATTTACATACATTTATACATTGATAGTTAAGTGCTGAATTGCTTGATAAAAGCGAGAGTTTAATTGAATAAGTGACTTAACACTGGTACTGTTGTCTATTTGTTCACTTGATTTGTCTAGGATGGATAAACAAACTATAGTTCTTGGAACAAATTAGCAGATAAGACTTCGAACTGAATGATTCTAAAAACATATCTACGAGTTTATATGCCATTTTTTCATTTAGGATCAATAAATGGAAGTATACTAGTGGTTTATAATAAAAATTCTTGATCCCCATAGGTGAAATCATATTAACCACCTTCATTTAAACGTCGAATTAGGTTTTTCTACAGACAAATGGACTCACTGAAAGAAGAATGAAGGGAGTCGGTTTACAATATACTATGGCAAATGTGTATTAAGGGCCTGCTTTACAATAATAAATAATAAGCAATAAGACGCTCTTGACATAATTATGTTTGGGTAAATATGTTTTGGTTAGGATTGAGCGAATAATGAGAAATGTTAAAGTTATCTAACAGGAGATCAATAACGATACGTTTAATGTGTATTTGTTAAACAGTCAATTTATAGTGTTATTATCATACACTTTAATGTAGCTCATTAATCACTACCATATCATTCACTTTCATTAATGACAATAAGTTAAATAGAAACTTGTGACTCAGATTTGCACCATAAAAGTATATATGATGTAGAAATATTAGGATTTATTATTCATCGCTCGTCAAAGTCTTGTATTTTATGTATACAAACAAGTGAGTTTTCAAGTTTGAATAATATACGATGCTTTGATGGTTTTCCTGGTGTTCCAATCGACAAACTGAAAACAGATCAGAATTATGAGTAGGAAATGAAGCGCTAGCACGTATGGTATCTGTGTTAAGGGACTCAGTGTTAGTGATATTAGGTGAAAGTGATAATACTACGATAGACGTGCTTTTTGGAGACTCTGGGTGACATGACTGAGAATCGGTCACAACGGCCTAGGTGTATACACTCTTTGTCTTACCTTAAACTATGAGATTAAAATCGTTTCATATCTTTCTTTCTGCATTATATCCTTACACAAAATCTTTCTTTTACATATTACACCATTGAGTTAACTGCTGTTATGAATCCGCTGTTCGTCCTGCTGTGCAAATGAGGTATGGCAACTTGGACCGATGCATCTATATGCCTGGTCCTACGTTGTAACTGACTGATTTGTTTTAAAATGTACCAAGAGTTCTTATTTTAAATAAATAAGTGTTGCTTCTTATTTAAGACAACTGAGGGCAATCTCGTTGTAATTACCTGATCATTCCCGCCCGATGCTCTTGTAGATTTGCTAACATAATACCTTGAGGACGTGATTCTGGCCAAATAGGCATTTCACTTTGTACTTCAAACATATTTTTCAGAGTTGATCGAATACCAAACAATGGATTAATCATTTCAGCAAACGATGATGATAATACTTCACCATGTACTAGTGTACCGATTGTGCCCATTTTTGTTAAGTTTGTATTTGATGTATTTGTCGATGCATATGAAGAATTATCCCCACCAGTGTTAAGTAATGTTGACGGTGGAGATAAGATTAAACTACGCCCAATAATAATTTTTTTCCCAGAATCAAAGGAATCACGGTGTAATGAAAGACGACCAGAAAGTAAACGTTCCCGTAAGAGATTTGCATAACGTTTCAGTGGTGAACTTAATAGCCTAAAACATGAAAGTAAGAAAGGAAATGACGTTAAATAAAGGAAATATGGTTAAATTGTAGTTATAGAAAACATAGTGTTTAAAGCAAAGGGAACTAGGTCCGAGCCTTGGTGCAAACATCAGCAACGAGGTGTAAGTGCATATATCCGAAGGGTTCCAAATAAGAAAAACGAGTGACTTGAATTCCACTTCCAGTAGCCATGAAGATCTGCTTAAAAGTGCGTGTGAGTTGACAGTATTAATAAGCCAACCCATTCAGGACACATAACAACCAAAAAAACTGATCAATTGTAGTCCATAACATCAAGAACGTCAATATTCGAATCCTTACAACCGAAATTTGTAGTAAATTAAGCATTAATAAACATTAATTATTGCTTTGACATTTAGTGTAAAAATTCACTCAATGTACTCAGAAACGATGACAAGTGATGAAGTTACTAGACGTTAAGCTTTGGGGTATGTAAAGTACTGTTTGTATTTTGCATAAAACGACGTGGAAGATGATATGTACTTATGAGGGTTACTCAGATCTGATATCAAGCATGTCTGTCACAGAGAATATAAACCAAAATCAATCTAAAAATAAAGAGTAACAATGTAAAGCTTCGAAATGACAAAAAAGACAGGAAAAACTCAATTACCATTGTAAATGAGAAGGATCTTCTAGAAAATCTTTGGGATTAATACACTGCGTATTTGTAGGTTGTGAACCTAAAATATAAAAAAAGAAATTGTAAAGCACAACTATTACAAACATACATTCATAATGATAATAAAATATAAAGTAGATTCATCGGACCCCGATTGTCCTTCTGTAAAACTGATGTTTAGCAAAAATCACTAAGTACTATAACCAATGCCATGTTGTCTAGACCACCTCAGTGGTAATCGAATTCTGCCGGTCAGTTTGAAATATAGCCATTAACCTAAATGATTCGACTTTGCAGTACATTTCGTTTAATGTTAAGTAGTTACAGTCAATTGATATGCATCTATGGATCAAAGCTTTGAGTTAGTTGACACTCATCACTGAGGCTTACTTAAAGTTGAGAGAAAACTAACATTCTTCTGGAAATTCAGGCCAAGTGATCACATATCATACCAAGGACTGAAAAAAAATATCCAAATATAGTATTTTTCGGATTTTTGATTAGCGATAAACCGCCGTTCCAAAAAAACAAACAAACAGAAAAACTGCCAATCATAACTAGACTAGTAGTAAACTTTCACAAAATTAGTGTAATTTACAAATTTACATATTCTCCTTAACGTATGATATTGTACGAAACAATAAATGCAACGATTAAACAAGAAACCAAACACTATATAGAACAAAGTGATAGCTATCTTTGCAAATGTTCAGACAAACATCAAGGTATGTCTTATTATCATCTTAATGTATGTGGACAATCATTACAGAAAGAGGTCTCAGATATTAGATACGGGTTAATTAATATATTATGAAATCAAATAAACTCCAACAATTAATATATAAAGAAAGTGATGAACGACCATAATATTGAAGATGAAAGCTAGTTCAAATATATGCCAACAGTGACGATGGAATTAACAAGTAACGATTGGTCAGAAACCTGAACACTGAAATACCAGACAATCAGGCAGAATTCTGACAGTTCAATATTTTTCCCTTGTGCTAACGATCTGAACAAACATTACACAGTATAAATTATACAACAAAATCATTCTTTTGCAGATATTCAATCGATAAAGAAATCAATTCAACATAACTGATGTTTATCGTAGTCCACCAACCTAGCACGTAACGATTTGATACTTAAAGCACTGGTTAGTTAGTTCTAATCTCAATAAGAGCGACGATATATGAAAACATAGATACATTTTATTTGTGGATTGCAAGTAGAACGCAATGCACATTTGGATATCAATGGTATAATCACTTAAAGTATTCAGTTCACGTAAACCAGTGACGAAATTAAAATTTTATTTATTTATAATACTTAAGACCGAGAAACACTTACTTAGAAACATTTTATCACGGTTTTCAATGGGGTAAACTTGGTATTTTGGAAAAATACGATTAAGTTTCAGATTAGATGAATGAAAAGCATTATGAGGACGACCGTTTTGGTATAAGTTTACAATATAACTGGATAAATTTACCAACTGAGATTCCATTAATTCCGTTAAACCCAGCGATTTAAGTTTTAAAATTAATGAATCAATGAACTCATCCTGAAGAAAAAAACAAAGAGATAAGACAGAAAAAAATAGTCGAACTAACGCTGATAATGACTGAGAGAGAGATTTATTCAAACCTCATTATGCTTATAAATAATGTAACTGTTGATTTATTAATCATTGAGGCCTTGAAACTAGATACAATTTATAGCTTGGTTAACAAAATCCAATACGGTCCTTTGAGCTATAGTAAATTATCTATTGATTAAATAACAGAAATGTTATTAAACCATAAACTGGAACCAAGAACTCGTTAAACACCAGATAATTTATCAAACAGTTCGCCAGTTTTGTTATGCAGGGACTAATGACGAAGTTAGACAATTCAAAACAGGAGGCCCTGAACTTTATTAATTGATCTGTGTCATCAAGGTGTGTTTTCATGGTTGAAAGAATTGATGTATCCCTTTAGCATTTTAACACATGCCATATAATGTCAAAACCAGAGACATTACTACTGCTAACTATCTCAAACCACTTAAAATGAAAACAGCACACCCAGTGTCGAATCTTTCAAATTAGAAGGTATACTGCAACTAAATTGACAGAACTCCAACAGGACTAGAAACAAGATAAAAATAACGTTTGTTATTACTCAGTGAGTGATTAGTATTGCTACCGATGAAATTTGATTTATCAGAATAATGTCGAGTAAAATAGGAGGGTGTGATTTTAGAATTAATAACAATCGAATATATATATATATATATATATATATATATATATATATATGTATATATATATATATATATATATATATTCACATTCGCAAATTGCTTTTTCGGGATGAAATTCAAATTATGACCGCAGAAATGAATGTTAGGCATCTAAGTTCCACGTAGTTGAGTAAGTATAAGTTAGTTTATATGAAGTATTATCGACTGATATATACAAACTGAATCTTATTTCTTTCCAAGTTAATAATTACCATAAAATCGATAAACGAGAATTGAAGTAATCATTAACACAACAGGACACTTTACAAATGAGTCGAAAAGATTACATTAATAATTGTTAACAGATGAATAAAGTACGGATAAGTAGTTTGTTAATTATAATGTAGGCAGAGACGAAAAAAAAACCGACATCCACAAAAATTGAAAGTGATAAAGAACAGACTATCCATCAGGAAACGATGTGGTGTGTGCTCCTCATGTCGACTGATATAAATAGTATGTATCACCAATCGAAAGTCAAATGTCTGGCGGCAGACGGTTAAGAAGATCGATGAGAAGAGAATGAGAGCAGAGAATGACTGGTGTGGAAGCGAAGGAACAATCAAGTTTGAGACAATCGATTTACATTTTGCAAATGAAATATTTGCTATATGGTTCTCAGATTTTACTAAGATATTCTGTAATTTTGTGTTCAAATACATTTGGTTGTCCCCACTGATGTTCTCGTTCGCTACAACGTAGCAAATCTAATCTATAAAACAATCATTATTTTAGTTCACTCTAGAAGGTAACTACTGAATTCAAAGCTGAAAGTTTGACATAAAGCCATTATTATCTTTGAGATTCTGAAAGATGACATGAGAAAAACTTATCAGGAGGAAAGAAACACTCAAATATAGAATTGATCAAGTCGAAAGAACTACAGTTTATAGGTTCAGAATCCAAATAAAATGAAACTTAGCTTCTGATAACAAGGTTTTATACTTGAGATATAAAGGTTATAGAGAGAGAAAAAAAGGAAATATGAAACGTGAGCAGCTACAATTTGGTAAAGTCGGACTGTATATTTTTAACGAATGCTTATCAAACATGTTTTATGATGTTCTTGTGTAGTTCTAACCATCATCTTTATTGGCATGTTGACTATTGCTTTATGATTCAGCCGTCCATAAAATTACTGCCAATTAACTAGGACTCTGTTATTCTGCTTTGGATTTAAAAAATCTTTTGGTCATATGCCTATTTTCATTGATTAAATGTGGTATGTTGTGGTCTGATATTTTACCTTTATAGTCACATGAATTACGAGCCTAAATAATAAAGGTATAAGTGACCACTTATCTGAATAATTGTGCTATTATTGGAGACTGAGGAATGTGGGTATTTTTGTGGGTGAACTATCCATCACATGACAATTATAATAGTAGAGTATGTGAATTTGATATTAGCTATGTAGGAGGCAAGATCACAATACAAACAATTCATGTTATGTAAATCACAGATGTTATGTGATCTCATAAACAATGCTATGAAAAGACTATATGTATCACAACAAACACAACAATAAATATTGATTCAGAAATGTACTGTTTTCCAAATAACCAGGTAAGTTCTATTGTCCGGACTGCATCACCACCATATGGAGGTAGATACTGATGACGTTGACCAAAAACAATAACGAAAGATATACAATTAGACCCTTTGACTTAGAGAACATAATATCACCGAAAAAACTCATCATCTGTTGATACATTTAAAACTGATAAGAGCTTAAAAACATAATGAATATGGTTAATGATGACCTTGAGTTAACAAAACAGAGTTAAGACAACACCTCACGTATTTTGTGCGAAGTTTAAAATGCAGCGATAGATAACGTGTATGTTATTATTGTCCGAGCGAAAATTGTGAAAATTCGGTCCTTAAAATCCTTGAAGTCAATGATAATAACTGTTATGCAACTGGGAAATGAATTTTAGATCGAGATTAAGCTAAAGTACATAACATACTAGCTTCTAAGGAACTTTGTGTGCTAAAGTACTTTATGGGTGTGTCTAGTGAAGCTAGATAATGTTCTCGCGTTCTTACTCTTACTCTAAATCTCAAGTTGATAAACAAGAAGGTGGTAAGATATTGCCCTATAGTTTATGTCAGTTCGTATTGAAAACACTGACCCCAATTCGTAAATCTAAATCAAAACTTCAGTTCGATTCCTAATACCAAAACATACCGTTTTTGAATTATAACTGACGTCAGTTAAAGTGTCGGAAACTCTATAAGATGATAACTCTAACTCACAACAGTAAACCGACTCCTAATATATATGCATATATGTAAACTTGCACCTTTTTTACTAGAAAAGACAATCTGACTTGTGAAAGTTAATTATTATGATCAAAGTTGTTACTCCACTAATATTGCATTCCTTTATATTGCTATTTGTAGAACTAGTTAGTGCTTCTTGATGGGTTGGGTGCAGGAACATCCAGCTGAAAGAGTCCCACATAGGACGAAACGCGAACCTTGGATTTCACTGCTAGACACTAAACATCATTGTTTACTAATGTTAAAAGTTGTGCAATAAGAACTGTAAAAATAATTAAATTGACTAAGTGAAATGAGTAAAGCTTAAAAAATATCAGCCAAGATTGAGGAAGAGGAAATTATAATTGTGATCATGAAATAAAATATTAATCAACCATAGTTAAAATAATTAGTTCATTTGGTAAATTTCGATAATGCAATGAGATGAAGATTATCAGAATTTGATGGAATTATCATCGTAGAAAGCTCAACATAGACCAGTATCACATTGAATTGTCGTGAAAATCTTATTACATTGTCTGTAGTTGTACGTTATATATTGATGTATTTCTTTGCTAATTAAACATACCTTATTTCACATTAATCTTCTTACTACTAAAAGGTATAACAACTTAAGTATAGTACAATTTGTGAACGATTCTGTAATGTTGCATCCATCTATTAATTAGTCACATAAACACAATGAGTAGAATTTTTTGCTACTATCTATCAGACCCTTGATGAATATCAATTCAGTTTGTTCAGTACAATTTATTGCTACAGTCATTGTGCAAAATTATCAACGTAATCACTTAATCCACATGAAATTTCGATGTTAATGTATTTACATTAAATGAAAACATGATTTATAATAAAATAAATAGCAAAAGAAATTCACAAAAAAACAAATGCAGAAACTTAAGCGACCTCCTCACAAGGAAAAAAGAATGCTTACATTAGGTGAAGTATAACAAGGTGTTTCACCACTTCGTGTTACAGCACGTGATGATTTTCTTTCTTGAAATAATTTCAATATCTGATTTAGTCTATCTAAACGGGACAACTGAGAATCATTGGATGTTAATTGTTGCATAGAATTAGATGAATATGACATAAATACTAAAGCTTCTAGAACAGTTCGACTAATTGGTGGATGTAAACTATGCAAAAGGACCGCATCATTTGTAAAACAAAAGTTTACAGGTCGCCTAAATTCGATTCCAAAGAATAACACACACAAAAAAAAAAAATAAGTATACTGTATGCACATATAAGTAAGGAACTTATCTTTACATGATTATTCTGGATTGAAACTGAAATCTGTTCACCATTTATTACATAAAAATGTAGAGAAAAACTTAGGAATCATTTGAATTCAAGAATCAACAGTAATCTTTTTCTTTAATATTAAATTAATATTAAACCGCCAAGATAGAATACTCAGAACACTACAGGTTATAGATTGGAGATAATAGTATAATCAGACTACAGGTTCATGACTTAACTTTATCTAAATTCTGCTTGATATATCAGTACGTCTTGATGCACAAATTTGTTAAATAACTGTATGAGATTATAAATGCTGACGTACAATGCTTAATCACAAAAATTAAAAGCGGAGTATATTTATAGTGTAACTAAATAACAATTCATATTTAACATGTATATATCAGTCAGTCAGTAACAACGTAGAACTTCGTACGTACGTACATCAGTTCGAGTTGCCACACCACATTAGCACAGAGATGCAGTGGTCGATTCAAATCCCGTAGTGGTAGAGGTAATAAGAGTATAAGCAGTAATCGGGAAGATTAGGGTTTGGAGATGTTATTTAAAGAGTATAATCCAGTGAAATAAATTTGGAAAGAGGAAAAAAGGGACATGAAGAATTCAGAAGATTAGAATTTGGGAGAACACAGAGAGTGGATGCACCTGCGCCATTGCAAACGATTTTGAGCCATGTCATTCAGGGTCTCTAACCATCGGTTGCTATCATCTCGCGGTCCCCAACCAGGTAGTCTACACCTACCAACATGACTCAGTCCACTTGTCAGTGACTTCATGGACTTGTGCCATGTTTTTGTTTGGCCGCCCCTAGCTTTCTTCCAACCTACTCCTATACCACTGAACATAGCACGTCGAGGCAGTCGGTCGTTGGGCATACGTAACACGTGTCCCAGCCATCTCAACTGATGAAGTTTCACTACGTCATCAATTGATTTGCCATCCTTACCTAGTACCCGTTTCCTAACAACTGTGTTACTTACTCGATGGTCCCATGATATACGAGCAATGTTTCGAAGACACCTATGATCAAATACTAGTAACCTACGAATATCCTCTACTCTTACCGGCCATGTTTCACTGCCATAAAGTAGGACGGAACGAACTGCTGCGCAGTAAACACGTCCTTTGGTTGATAGACGGATATCTCGCCTACGCCATAAATGACGCAAGTTGGCAAAAGCTAGTCGAGCCTTCTGTATCCGTGCTGAGATTTCGTCACACACCAACCACAAGGGCTGATGAGACTTCCAAGATAAGTGAAGCGGTCGACACACTCAACTACTTCACTCCCTATCACTAGTTCGGGTGTCGATGTAACCCAATCCTGAAGCAACATTTTGCATTTCGAGGGGGAGAATCGCATCCCGAACATGCTTGCATTGTTGCTTAGAGTGGTCAGAAGACTCTGCATTTTGTCAGCGTCTTCACCAAATAAAACTATGTCATCAGCATATTCTAAGTCAACAAGTGAACCTCCCGGTAGAAGTTCAACCCCTGGAAATTTAGATGAGGAGAGTGTTATCTCTAAAAGTACGTCGACCACAAAGTTGAACAAGAATGGGGAGAGTGGACAGCCCTGACGAACACCACTTGAGGTAATCAATTCTGATGACAGTTCGCCATAAGCTCTCACTCTACCAGTTGTGTTCGAGTAGAGAGCCTTTATAAGGTTAATGTACTTCTTTGGTACTCCTTTCAGTGACAAACACTGCCATAGAACCTCACGATCAACAGAGTCGAATGCCGCCTTAAGGTCGAGAAATACTACCATTGTGGGGCGTCTGAATGTGTGTCTGTGTTCTAGAACCTGACGTAGTGTGAATATCTGATCTATACAACCACGTCCAGGTCGAAAACCGGCCTGGTTTTCTCTAGTCTGCTCTTCACGAGCTTTGTTAGGCGTCGAAGTATTATTGAAGCTAATATTTTAGACACTATATTAGTCAAACTGATTCCTCTGTGATTGTCACAAGAGGACTTTTGTCCTTTCTTATAGACTGGCACAATCAGTGATTGAGACCAGTCAGATGGGATTACGTCCAGTTCCCAAATTCTACCTAAGACCTCAGTTAATCTCATTGCTAATACTGGACCACCATCCTTAAAAATCTCAGGAGTAAACCTGTCAGGGCCTGCTGCTCTCCCTCGTTTCAGATTTCCTATGGCTTTTTCAACTTCGTAAAGAGGGAGGACCTACATTAACTTGCCATTCAGGTTGACTGGAGATCGTGGGAAACCGAAGTGTGGCTGAAGGCCAGTTGAACTGATCCCTAAAGTGTTCTGCCCATCGATCCAATCTCCTGGATTGAGAATGAATAATATGTCCATCTTTCTCTGAGATTGTTTCGCTAACGGTCGGTTTCCTTAACGAGTCTGAACAATTGTCTGCTATTACCTATTGCCGCTGCCTTTTCCATCTCTCTTGCTTTCGCTACCCACCACTGTTCGCGATCATTGCGTAGACTTCTTGTCAGCTTGCGCTTAAGCTGACTCCGCTCTTCATTATGTTCAGAGCCAGGTGGAATGAGTTTCCGAGCATCTATCAGTGCGATAGATGCTGCTGAGATCCAGTGTTGCTCCCTAACCTTCTGGTTTACCTTACTAGCAGATATCACTGCTGTTTCCACAGCTTTTCGGATATCATTCCATGCTGCATCGGGGTGGGCATCACATACATGGCTGCCTAACTGTTTTCCTAGTTGTTCCTGAAATATACTCTTAGCTTGACTATCATTAAGTAGGCCCTAAGAGGTTTCCTTGCAGCGTCTTTCCTACGTCCAGTAAGACGCAAGCAAATACGCGCTCGCACTAGAGCATGATCTGAATCTAGGCATGTGCTCCAGAATGAGCGACAGTCTTCTATCGAGCCCCTCCATCGGTGGCTGATAGCGATGTGATCTATTTGGGTCCAACGTTGGGACGAATTAGGGGGTCGCCATGTTAAAAGATGTTTTTCCTTATGCTTAAAGTTAGTATTTGCAAGGAACAGGCGGTTATCTGAGCATAGCTGCAACAGACGGTCGCCATTATCTGTTCTTTGAGCCACGACACCATAAGATCCACCTAGGTGTCTTTCCTATCGCTTAGTTTACCTACTTGAGCATTAAAGTCACCGGCCACTATTACTACATCCGAGCGCCTAGCTTTTCGGAGAAGGTCCGAAAGCTTTCTGTAAAACTCATCTTTTACATCATCTGAGCTGCAGTCAGTGGGAGAATAGGCAGAGACGACGAAGAGGCAACGACGAGTGTCCCTATCTTTCCGGATTCTTACTGTTCCGTTCAGTCGGACAGCGCACAAACGACTGTCTACTGGGATCCACTCTAAGAGAGCTAGTTCTGCCCTAGGACTCAATGCTATACCTACGCCGGCGAGGCCACGGGAAGCAGAATCAGGGCTTCCAGATACACGAAGCGTAAATCGAGTCGGTTCTTTATTTTGGCATGGTGAGGTCAAATGAATGACGCTACTTGGATCCTGTATGCGCGTTTCGGAGACGCAGCACACATCGATGGCGCGAGATTCTAAAGTTTTAGCTAAGGAAGCCTGCTGTCCTATTTGGCAAAGTGTTCGTACGTTAAAAGCTCCTACGTGTAGTTTAGAGCGTGGTTTCAGGAGACCAGGAATGGCGTTCCACGTACTCGAATCGTTTGCCCTAGCGGTGCGAGGTGATAAAGAGACGTGAGGAGGGTTAGTCATGGAGATAAGAGAGGTATTAGGAGGTGTAGGAAGGATTTGAATGTGACCACCTTGGTCTCTTGTGCTGTTACGGGTATGAGGGCTGATGTCACTTCCCGGCTGCCCACACCGTGGAAGGGTATTTCTTGAGGAACCTGAAAAGGAAATTGGATTAGTGTTGGTCTTGACGACCTGGGAGCGTGACCGCAGAGCCCAAGGGACAACTGCTTGAGGCCGGTCGCGCACGGCCTTTTTGTGGAAGGTTTTTGACGTGTTAGCTCCGTTCTTCAAAGGGCCTTACCGCCGGAGACGGAAATCCGTGAGGTAAGGTGAGGTGTGACATTTTTAGGGTCGACCTTTTCTAACCCCACCCCTCCTTGTGGGAAGGCAGCATCGCTGTCATGCTGGTTGTCCGAGGGAAACACCTTACTGCTGTCACACCTCTCTACAGTCAGCAGTACGACTTCGCCCTCAGACCTTGAGTTGCTGCTTTTAGTCTTACCGTTCACCAATCGACCTGCCTGGCATGGTAGAACCTACAGGAACATATGTTCCAGCCAATATAGCTCGGTTGGGTCATCACGATAGGCAAGCCCGACCACCGCGTCAAGGTAGCAGCTTCGGTCGGGTACATGTATATATCATATTCAACTGAACTTCCAAAGCCATGGAGTATTAATTAAACCAATCTGATTCTGCACAAACCCACTCTATTTGATTTAGTCTGATCGATCACATATCATTAACAAACCTCATATAGAAAAAATATGTGACTGAAAGTGAAGTAATTCGTCGAGAGCTTGGAAAAAGGGATGAAAAACTTTTTCAATTAATCCAACGTATCTAACCATTAATCAAGAATACTAAGTTGACTTTACCCAGGAACTTTATATCTATCAGCATGGCTTAAATGGATCATCCACAATTTAATGAGCCGACGCCGTGTCCTCAATTAGTCATTTCTAACTTTCTTTCAGCCTAATCTTAAGCAACCGCACATCAAAGAAAATGATGGCTAAACATTTGCTACAAAAGTATTAACCCGATAGGTCCGTAGAGGTTTTCAGACTTACCCTAATCATTCATCATCTCTATCTAGTATCTTGGGAATAACCCCAGTATACCTTACTAGGTGCGTACACTATATGTCAGAATTGTTTCGAAGACAAATAATCGGATACATTCAGCAATTAGTCATTTTAAATGACTAACTGATTGGTAAAAAGCTTCTTGAGAAAACTCTTATCACATAAACAAAAGAAATAATCCGAAAGGATTTAACTGATAAATGTTAACATAAAATGCCATAGATTACAAAATAATTCAGCCTGAAAAAAACTATTATATTTTTGGATACTATGACTTACCGAAAAATAGTTTTCTTAACTTCAATATTAACTAAACGAGCATAAACACTTGCAGGACTACAAATACCTGGCCAAAAATGATGTACCATAGGTACAGTGTCTTCATCTCCAGTTAGAACTCGTGATTGAGACTTTTCAGCAAAGTTAACAGCTAGTCGAGCAAAAGATGTAATATAAGCCACAGATCCTTGACGAATTCGTAAACATGGATGTGCGGTTAATGCTAAAGCACGAGTTAAAAATGAAACTGCAATGGGTGCACTGAGCAATCGTCTACGTAAAAGATTAGTTAGACAGTGTAAACACTCTTCAATAACCATATCGTCAGGATCTATTAAACCCTGTTCGAGTAATGACCGAAGAATCGTAACAAACTGTGCTCCAGTTAATGTTGCCAAAGGAGAAACTTGTCGAAAAAATGCAGCTCGTAATTCGGGTTTACACTTTGAATATAAAAAAGACAGCATACAGTATAATAAGGAAACGCTTTATAATTACAACAAGCTACTGAAAAAAAACACAATAACAACATATTAAAACGTAAACAGTCCACAAAAAGTATTAGTCAAGCTAATTTTCAAAATTCTTTATACAGAGTAAGATGTGAATAACTCAACTTTAAACGAACTTTAAAAATATGAAAGAATTAGTAATATTTTAGGGAGGGGATAAGAAAGGTCATTGGGTAATTTAATTGGTAAAAGAGTTGATGATTCTGATTTCGTTTTTGAGTAACATCGAAGGCTTGGGATGTTTATTTAATAAAATTGGCCACTAGTCTAAGTGACTCGACATTGCTTGCACTATGTTGAGATAAGATGGTGGTTGGAGGTAGTCAACAGGAAACCCCGGACCCGGGTTTCGTGCTACTTGGCACTCGTCAGCAATGTGTACCTGTAATCTTGAGAGGACTGGTGTTCCCTGACGGATTCGATCCCGTGTCACCCAGCTTCACAGTCAGGGACGTTACCACTGGGTTATAAGGGCCGCGACCGACCCAACTACCTCCAACCATCATCTTATATCAACATAGTGCACGCAATGTCGAGTCATTTAGACTAGTGACCACATTGCAACTTGGTCGATAGCATTCGATCTGCACTAAGAAGGACTTGACACACATGATATTGATAACCACCCAATGGTCAATCAATTATGATTACATCTCAGTCCTATAGGAAGTCGGTTGCGGCACGTATAGCCCAGTGGTAACGTCCCTGACTGTGAAGCTGGGTGACACGGGATCAAATCCGTCAGGGAACACCAGTCCTCTCAAGATTACAGGTACACATTGCTGACGAGTGCCAAGTAGCACGAAACCCGGGTCCGGGGTTTCCTGTTGACTACCTCCAACCACCATCTCAGCATCACTAGAATTTATGTTTAGGTTAGGTTCTAGCAATTTACCAGACCTCTGTACAAAACAGTTATGTTCAATCAATGATACTTCCATGGTTTAAACACTCCGTCTAACTTTATGAAACGTAAGTGCTAATTATAATCTTGTTCTTCACTTCCTTTTTCTCCTTTGTAAATAAGATAGTAGTCTTGCATTTCTTCCATAAACTATTACGTAACTTTATGTCTTAGTAACCTTTGATCATTTTATTCAATGATGCAACACTACATTATCATAGACTTTTACACTCACTAGTTGGATAAATCTAACTAGATTGTTAAGTGTAAAAAGTTACATATAAATATGATTGTACAACTTAAAAAAATGATATTGTTAAAAAGAGACTTTTTTCGTCGAACTATTTTCAATCCAAACATCTTTGTAAAAATGACTGAAACACAAATTATTGTGAAAGAATAATACATTATTTGATCATCTTTTTCTTACTAACCTTACAATTATAGATGTAATCACCTCACCGTTAATAATGATGTATAAGTAAAGGGGATTATAACAACGGTAATTATTCGAGCAGTAACAACTCGTCTATTTCTTTATACTATTATAATCACTATCTTGTGTGTATATACGTGTAAGCTTCATCACTACAAATTAGCCTCCGTATTCGCTCGCTGTGCTTATAACTTTGTTATCTGTGCTATCCGCTAATAAACTGTACTCGCTGGTTCTTATTGCCTTCTGATTTCAAACACCTTTGCGATTCATACAATAAGTTATCAAGATAAGATTGATTAACAAAGTTAAACCACTATAATCTAATTAATATAAGGCACCTAATTTAACTTGAGTATTGGGAACCGTTCTTTAGTCCGTCAAAAAAACCAAGGATTACAAAAAATCAGATAAAGTGAAACTTTGTTACTTAAATAAGTAATCTTGTAGTATTAGAAGTGAGAACGACAATTTCATTTACAATATTTTATGCGGAACAATTAACGCATGACTAATGTTTCTGATTAGTATAAATAAATGGTACCACTGTGAACTAGTTTGCTACCATAATTCTCCAAAATTTAATAAATTACTGTGAAGCAATGAGAACGAATGATGATAAATTGTTATAGACTATAGACTTTATTGATGAAAACATTTAAACTGACAATGGAAAAATAGGTGTTATATCCGGCGAAGCAAAATGGATAGTAACTTCCAGGTTTGATCTATGGATTATTATTGAATAGATTCCTTTTTTATGATTACTAAGTAACTAAATTTTACATATTCATATTCCTTTTATCATAAGCTTTCGTTTGACCCACTAACTACTATTATATGATGTACTATTCTTGATTTATTCCCAATATATTCTCTACAGTCTCCTCTACTTACAGCTACTTGCATAAATATTTTTCACTTTATAGTGTGATGCGATATAGTTTGCTTGTAAATTGTCTGAAATAGGATAGCCGTATAGCACAGACTGATTTTGTGTTCTGGACTCAATGGAGAGGCTAAGGCGAGATGCTACTTTATCGAGGACCAATAAGAACTTAGAGTTGAACCACGGCTACTAGTGCTGGTTGGGGTGTCATTGGTTAATTCAGGGACAAAGCCATAGAAATCGATACTCTGATTGGCGGTTTCGTCACGTAATATTTGACAGGGTCATAAATCATAACAAAAGCCAATTCAAGTTTACTCTATAAATAACAATTCAAATCTGAAGTATTTATATTACTTGAGCCACAACAAGTATTATATTAAATAACATACATAACTTAATAGTGAATTAAACAAAGATCATAATCCTAACACTTACTTTATCATTTAGAAATGTGATCATATGTGATAACAATGTGCCATTTGTACCGGATCGACCAAAAATGATGCTAAACATGACAAACCATTTGTGTTCATTAGACCAAGACGAACATGTGGATGTGGATCGGAGAGTAATGCAACTAATCTTTCTTGTATATGTAATCTTAAAATAGACAAATAATTGTCAGCAGTTTTATGATCACTTTGACAATCATGTACAAAATCAGGAGACTTGTTTTGATGGTAGATGATGAGAAATATTTTCATAAAAAAAAGAAGATAAATTGTCTTATTTATTTAAGGTTAATACAACTTGAAAATTTGCAGCATTTAAAACTTTGTATTTAATAAAACCTATATATATATATATATATATATATATATATATATATATATATATATATATATATATATATAAAAGAATTTAATAAGTTCATTATCAACAATATAGAGCATAAATGTGTATGAATTGAGGTTGCCTAATTAAGTAGTAACATACAGGTGTGTAACAAGGGAGTCAAATGACTAGTTGTATTTATGACGATCCATAAGAGTCGATATAGAATATACGGTTCAAAAGAAGGAATGAACTTGCGTAATGAAAGGTATGAAACAATATTGAAATTTAAGATCTAGAGGAAGATTAAAAAAGGATATATCTGAAGTAGGACGGCTAATTCTAAGCCATATTAGCCACGATCAACAACCATTGATTTGGATCATCCCACGGATTCAAATAAAGTAGTATGCACCATCGAAAATGAGAAGAATTTTCCTCGATTTGTTAAGAAGTTATTCATAAAATTAAAAAATGGATAAATTTCAAAATAATACTTTTTGTATTGTTTATTTGAATCTTCCCATTGATATTTAGGACTGCGATTGGTCTGTATCTTATTGGTATATTTGCATCTTGTGAGGATTGCCTGAATACTGCCTTAAGACACATGCATTATAAGCAAAGATGGATGGTAGATAGCAGTGAAATCCAAGACGTGCGCTTCGTCCCATTTGGGACTCGTCGGCTGGGTGTACCTGCATCCCAGAGTTGATTCGCTGATAAGAGACTGATCAATTACACTTTTACACATCAACCACAATATTTAAACAAACAGTACAAAAATGAATCAAAACTTTCCCCCACTGCAAAAGCTAGTGGTTATCAGGACTCATGAGCTTAGTGGATAACGCGATGGTGTTTGAAGCAAAAAGAACTTGGAATGAGTGCAAGAGTGAACTACAACTCTTGAGTGCAGGTACACCCAGCCGACGAGTCCCAAATGGGACGAAACGCACATCTTAGATTTCACTGCTATCTACCATCCATCTTTGCTTATAGTGCATGTGACTTAAGGCAGTATTCAGGCAATCCTCACAAGATGCACATATGCCAATAAGATACAGATCAATTGCAGTCCTAAACATCAAGATAATACTGTTTAATTCAAATATTAAGATGAGAATTTAAAAAAGAGGAAATAACAGTATACTATAAAAGAAGAAACGAACAAAAGGTACTTAAACTCACTTTATTCTTGACATCAGTTGACTCGGAACGCAACTTTGTTATGATATTGAGGAACCTTTATATATATATATATATATATATATATATATATATATATATATATGTAAGAAAAAAACAGGATAGAAATGAAAACTACGAATGAAACATGAAAGGAAGAATAAAGTCTTAGTAACCATGACAACTGTGCGGCTTATCGTAAATAAGTGGAAGTTATCAAACTATTTTGACCTAAATACAAAAATGCGGATATCTTTAGCCATGTCATAGGTTAGGATCGCTAAACAACATAGCTTATAATCCATCTCAATAATACAAATGTGTTCATTTTTATCTTCTATCTGAATTAATGTTCGTGTAACGTTTAACTAAAATTCCAAAGTTAACCCAAAAGGATAAAATACAGAAACATCTGAACCCTGAAATTTAGCTACTGTGACAAAGTTATAAGTTCAAATTGCCAAACACACCTGGTGAATAATCGCTGTCATTTATAAATATTAACTAATCTTATTAAATGCCTTTCCATTATTAATACGAATTCGGATGAACATCATTAATTTATTACTAAAGAAATGGAAATTCTTAATTAACTGTTTCTAATTAAAACTGCCATTTCTTTTAATAGGAAAAAATATATAACGGATGCACCAGTCATATTTATGTGGTCTTTTTATAGTGACTAAGCTAAAAACAAGTGTATAATGGTAGCTTAGTGCTTAAAGTACGTTACTTTTAAGTACTCCACTTACATTGGTTAACACATAAAGTAAATCTCAAAGTCCGGTAGTTAAACATGTGCTTGACAAATAGCTTTCATTGAAAGACAAGTTTATGAAAATCGAACATACTCAGTGAGTAATGGCTTTGAGGAGTTACTAGCGTTTGGTAAATATCTACCAAACGAAAAATCTTCAAGATAACTAGATTTTGTGTGGGGCGACTAAAACAACTAGAAAATTAATTAAAGCATTGTCTTAAAATTTTAATATATATATATATATATATATATATATATATATATATATATATATATATATCCACCTGGAGCCCATCTGAGGCTACTGCCGGTCTCAAGCCCGGATAAAAGAGGAGGGTTAGGCATAGAAAAACTAACTCGCTAAAAAAGTTAACCGGAAACAAGAATTAATATATAATCTTAGACATAAAGTGTAGGCTTTCAGGCCGAAATTCTTTTGAGAATAGTTTAGCACAATTTAGAACGTTTTGTGACATAACTCATGGTTATTTACATTCAAGAAGATGTACAGACATCAGTGTGAACATCAGCACTGAGATACACGTACATTTAGTTGACGAGTCCGGAACAGGACAAAATGTGAATCGTGGATAGCAAACCTAATCACCGCGTCACTTTGATAAAATCTTGTGACCAAATGACAATGACGATGCAATCCGCTCAGGATGTATATATGCCGTAGAGACTGATAAATTAGGCTTTAAAATTAACACCAGGAAGTTAAAAGTCCATATAAATCAGGTGATTTATTAATACTAATATATATATATATATATATATATATATATATATATATATATATATATATATATATATATCTTCTATCTTTTCGCCTCTTCCGTTTTTTATATCATTTCGATTATCACTATAATCTTTTTACCTACTGAACTATTCTCTACTGTGTTGTGTTAAACAAATTTTCTTTAGTAATTTCATGATAAAGTTTTCAGTTGAATGTGTACATCGACATAAAAATCAAGTAACCAAAATATTTATTAAACAATTTATAGTAGACTAACTTTAAAGAGCATGTTGCCAGTATAGGTAAACATCGTGCCAGAGTTAACCGAACTTCTGGCTTAGGATCTATGCTGAGAGGTGCTAAATTAGGAAAGAGATATTCAGTTAAGAATGTCTCCTCCAAAATGATGTAAATTCATTAATTTTTTCACATTTCTGTATTACTAATTTGAAAATATGTGTCAGTGACTCAATAGCTAAGCTGCGTACCTCACCAGAATGTGATAATGTTGTTAATTCCATACAATAAGGTATTACACGATCCATTAACAAATTTGGTTGCATATGGTTAGCAATCTCGAGCAAACATATTAATGCATTAATTTTACCAGTTTCACTTAAACGATTTGATTGTGTTGAATATCCTTTTTTATCAGAGGTATGCAAATTGTTGCGTATTAAATAAAACGGATCAGTAGTATTGATTCTATTAATTTGCGTTAAAGTTGGTAAATCGGCAGCTGTGATTGGAGTTTGTGTATTTGGACTATATGATGTAGGTCGTAGAACACTAATAATTAAACTGCATATAATAACAGCAACAGTACTTAAATTTTCTGGCCCTGAATCGGTAACCTGTTGAAGGAAATTTGTAATAGTTCTGTAAAGACAGAAAAACGGAGATAAGGCATTCAAAAAGTTGGAAACTGGGAGATATAGCGAGTAAAAGATGAAATGTAGTGATAAAGATAATTGAATCAACAACATCAACGTAAATTGTGGTAACTGAGCGTGAGAATAATCTTACAGAAAGGATTCACGTTGATAACAACTAAGTAAAAAAGTGTAACTCTCATTAACTGTAAGTGAAAAGATCGGATAGTGTTCTAATAATCTTCATTTAAGCTGCAGATAAATGCGATAAGAAAAATTTACTGACAAATAATGTGAACCATCAAAATAAAATAAACCCTTCTCTGAAGTGTGACTGTATTGTAACCTGTCGATTACTTATTGAACGTTAAAAAAGTTACCGGATTGTTTCATGAATGCTAAGCCTCGATTTTATCAAGAAAACTGCTATGACTATACCACTGGGTCCCATAACACAGTAACTGTATGTGTTAGTACTCGAATTCCTTCGCATAATGCACATCTATTTTGAATCTACCAATCAAAACACAAAAAAATCCAAACACAGTGTATTATTCAGACTCAAAAACTCGCATGATTATATGCATAAAATGCAAGATTGTGACGAACGATAAGTGATAAATCATAATATGTACATCACAAAAACTTTTATGGTACAAATCTGAGTAACAAATTTCTATTTGTCTTACTGTAATTAATGAACAGTAAACGAGACGACACTGTGTTGGGTCGGCTTCCGGAGAACTTCAACGGAGCCTCAAGAGGCCCAGAAAGGAGCCGAAGGGCCCTAGCCAATCTGAGTATGGTGGAACGTTCGAGAATTCCAGCGTGGCGTGCTACCATTGGTCGGTAGCATAATATGACGTTAACGGATTGGCTGAAATATGATGTTGATTTAACAGACGCCAACATCTATAAATACCCTTGATTTTCTGTACTAGAATGAACTTTGGGATAAAGTGTTTTCTCTCATACTTGTGTCTTCTTTCTGGAGTTCAAGTCGCTGTGTAGTTCTAGTCTGCGGGTTACGGGAATAGCTTAGGATTCGTATATAGCGCTCAACCTACACGACTTATCACACTGGTTAATGAGTTACATAAAAGTTTATAATTAGAACGATTCATGTCTACAATATCCTGTTTCAATCATCATGCATACAAAGTACATTAACTATTCATGAAACATTATGTTTAGCATTTTGAAACAGTTCACATTCATTCATTTTCGGCATTTTTATCTGTTATTTACAAATTACTCTTAATTTTCCGCTTTTTCTGGTAGGTAATCATTCTTCGTTAGGATCAACAAGAGTTCAAGAGTGTGTATAGTAGTTTAAGACTATAAACTATCACATGACCATAGTCTCATTATTATTTTTGTATTCAAATAAATGTAGGAAAACTATTGTACTAATTAACATATATATATATATATATATATATATATATATATATATATATATATAACTCACAGTTTAAGAAACGATATCCTTGAATCAGGAGAATTAAGTATTGGATTCAGAAAGTTTTGAAGATATGGTGTCAAATGTGTATAAAAGACACTTGGAAAAGTTTTGCCTCTTTGTTGTTCTAAATGTTCGGCAGCTGTACGGCGTTCTTCTTTGTCCAATGACAACAAGGTAGAGATTAGAAACTAGAATTATACAAAACATTAAATTCATATAAAATTGTAATAAAATGAAAGGCAGTAAATTAGACTGAACTGATACCTGACATAAAATCACTTAGTGAATAGGAGTAAAATTAATAAAAGACAGGAACGAAGGAAAGTTAATCTATGAGGTTTGATACTTTACAAGGCGTTGAACCTAACGTCGAGGTATTTTAATACTTCACATATGACTCATGATGAATGATAAACTAAAAGATGATCAAAGGCAAGAAAGCTATGATACCGAAAATATAAGGGAAATAAAAGAAATAAAATCAGCGAATGGAAAAAATGAATGCAACTTATAGGACAACAAAAGATGTAAGCTTAAGACGAACATAAACAAAAGACATATGAGGTACAGTGGGAGAATGATATTATGCATTGATTTAATCAAATTCACATACTTTAACCGCGGAAACTTCCACGACCGATAAGATAATGTCATTTGAAGACCATTAATCCATCTTTTAGTGATCTTCAGTTACATAGACTGTTTGAGTGGGAGAAATATTGTTTTACAGTACATTAAGCTAGACAACTAATAGAGTATGAGTGTGAGGGCTGTGATACTGCCCGGGTGCCCAAACCGAAGCAGGTGGTTTTCTTAGGGGGCCACACCCGGAGCCTTTGACCTGAAGGTCTAATCCACAAGGCAGTGGAGCATCGTAAGGAGATGCAGTCCCATGGTAGCCGGTGACCGACGATTGGTTCATAGGCCATTTGTTCCTTCAGGATACTAAGGCCCATGTGACTATTGGTTTAGAATCGGAGTTTTCCAACTTCCCTAGGTGGAATCTCCATATCCACCGACCCGATTAAAGTGCCGGACATTCGCTTTTCGTTCTCTTTATTTCGTAAACAACACCCCCGCCGCGATAAGGCAGTGAGTAGGACTTCCCTGGTAGAGGCTATATACGCGTGGCCATGTGAGAGCATTTTGAGAGGGAGAGATGACTCCCCCCACTCTCGACCGTACCAAGGCATTTGGGGGCAGACCGTGCGCCTGCCGGGAGTCGAGTCCAGGTCACAACCTTGGGATGGTTGCATGATACTGCTACACTACTAGGATAGTTAAATTTATAAACTAGTGAATAGGAATAAACTGCAATAAGCACAGAACCACAACTCCACGTGGCTGTCAGTTTGAAAGGAAAACATATGACCGCATCAACTAATGAATGAACTGACGGGAATATATTTACAAATCTATACTGATTGTATATAACTAACATGGCCATTAATTTATTGGATCAATAAAGCTCATACATATATATGGTCAAATTATTTTCTCTATCCTGATGTTTTAAATTATATTCAAAGTAATTAAGTTGACATTTACTTTAGCATGTTCACATGGAACTTGTTCTAAAAGTTTCGATAGACGACTTTGATCATTTCGTCTGTAGGCCAGTAAATCGGCCAATGTGAAGGCTATTGATCCATCAGTAAACAATTCCAACAGAACACACCTATAAAATTTAATAATAATAATAATGTGATACGAGCATATTAAATACTCTAAATATTAAACATAATGGAAATGAGACATGTTGAACATTCGAAATAATTGATTAATCAGTAAGCAACGTTATGATTACGTTTGCAGATTTAACTCCAAGTCAGCTAGTGAAGTCATGTGATTCATCTAAGAGATACATGACTTTAAGTTATCCCAGTTCATTGACATCATCTCTGAATGTAACATTGAAAAGTTTAGATTATAAATTACATGGGAAATATAAGCTACTTGGGTGGGAAAATTAAGAAGAGTTTCAAAAAGAATATTTTAATCTGTCGAAATTTAGCATATAGATGTTTATTGTCCCCTCCAGAAAATGATGATTAACTGTGAACACGTAACTGATAATTTCAGTAAGATAAAGGTTATTAGACTATTGTATAATATTTGTTACTTCATATTATTATATCGGTAATGGTTTCCACTAAACGTCGTTTTTCTTAGACTAACTGATATGGTATCATTCAGGATTCAGTGAATATTATAGAAAAGAGACATCTGAACGTTATTTGTTCAACGCCACGAAAATAACACCTCACATCCTATTGTTATCTATTGCAGACGATCAGTACATCAGGAAAACTTCGACTTTTCATTTTAATTTATAAGACTGTTATTTATGATCAGTAAAACTAAATTTATTAATTTTTTAATAATACAGTCTACAATTAGGAGCATGTAACAACGATATAAAACAAATTTTGTACAAATAATTTTTGGATTAATTGAAATAACTAGATCAATAATAATTACTGATATTCCCCTTTTCTCACGTCCTTCTAACAATTACCAATTTACTTGATAACTTCAAAAACAACCACTCCTTACAATCTATGAAGCCAATCTTCATTTCACATGGATTTTGCCCTCCATTATGATTTGAATTATTTGGAAACTTGCTAAAGTAGTTTAAACTTCAGGACTAGTGTTACAGTGTATACACCACACACGCACCTAAGAATTTTATTTCTTCGAAATCTCCAAGAGTTCGATACAACAACTGGATATTTAATCCAAAGAAGAAAATATAGTAGTGCTGTTATAGTAAACCTTTTTAAAAAAGATAAAATCTTTATTAAACAGTTTTAAGATATGAAAGTTTGGAAAAGGCTAACTATTAGCTTGTGGAGACCAGTTTTACAGTCATCAAGAAGACATCTTACTTTTTACATGGATATGAAAGTTAATGAACCATAACAAACATTTTTTGACTCAGTTAGTTAGAGGATGTATTATACCCTGCTTACCATAACTTTTAATGGCTACCATAGGAGTGGTATTTAAGACAACTTAGTAGAAATCAAGCAAATATTCAGCTCCAACCTATCCAGCAATTGACCGTTGAACTAAGGTGTGTGGTAAAGTGAAAACTTCCTAGCTGTGGTCAGCGTGGTAATCACAAAGCAATAGCCATAAGCATTAAGTAATGTGATTTGAAATCGGTTAGTCAGGAAGTTAATGTTCATTCTTTATCTTTCCGTACATCCTGACTTTTAATGCAATCCTATACTTCTTAATGGAGAACTACTACAGCCATCATCAAAAGGTACAAGTATTTATAAGCAATTGTCTACGTAAGATATTCAATATCCGTTGGCCAGATACCATCAGCAACAGCCTTTTGTGGGAGAGAACAAACCAGCTTCCAACAAAAGAGGAAATTAGGAAAAAACGTTGGGAGTGGATAGGACAGACATTGAGGAAATCATCAAACAGCATTACAAAGCAAGTTCTAACATGGGATCCTGAAGGAAATTAGAAAAGAGGAAGGCCGAAAAACACGCTATGTCGGTAATGGAAGCAGATATGAAAAGGATTAATAGCAACCGGAAAGAACTGGAAAGGATTGCCCAGGACAGAGTTGGATGGAGAGTGCTGGTGGGCGACCTATGATCCTCCATGAGGGGTAACAGATGTAAGTAAGTAAGCATATTTCTTAACTTTCCACAGATTAGTTGCATATTACAACACTGTTTATCTTTTTTTTCCATCTCCAACAAAATTGACTACCGATGAGAACATTTACCAGTCAACAACAATAGTATAAAACGTTTTTTAAACAAAAAACGAACTTACCCAATCGAAAATAAATCCATACTTGGTGTTAAATGGCAATCTAAGTCAAGTAAATTTGACGTCATAAACTTTGTTCGTTGCTTTAAATCAATCACTTCATCATTAGAATTTTGTGTATCACAGTCTTCAGTGTTTAAGATGAGCGAAGGCGATGAAGTTACACTGAGTTGGGTAGATAATTCACTGGAATTTGCAATCAAATAAGACGATTCACTTTTAGAGAAGTTATTATTATTACTACTACTCAAATCGGAAATTTCGACGGTGAGTTGTTGTTTATCAGACTCCATATTGTATTCTTTGTTTAAAGGATTCGATTCGTTTACCGTAGTAGGTTTTACCAAAGTATTATCACACACATTTACAAGCATGTTTACATTCTAGAGATGAAGAAAAAACGTAGTAAGAGGAAAGCAACCAATTAAGATGAAATAGATGAAGTGATTTTAAAAACGATATCGGTTTCATTCTATGCTGGAAATTACCAATGGCCTACAACGAACAACGCTTATTAAACTCGTCAACTTTAAGGTCCATTTTATGTCCGTTGATACAAAATGAATCAGCAGCCGTTAGGAGTGACTTGTTTGGTTTATTTTCTAAACAACACTCCAGACCTTTACAACCAGATTTGTAATGATTGATTGGATAATATTTAATTATAAAGAAAATAGTTATTATACTACAGGGAAATGTGAATTAATGATTAAGTGAGTTACATGTTCATCTAAACAACATTTTAGTTTAAATTTATTAAGTGACAGTTAAAGTAAATACACAATAACAGTTTTTGAATTTACATAACTCAAGTTTACATTTGAATGTTACACAAAGAGATTCAAAATATCACTCTACAACTTTTGTGTAAACTTTGAAGATTTAACTGATCAATTACAATAAAGTGAATATCACTGATAGGTTGTAAAATCATAAATTACATATATAGAATAGACCTAAAAGAACATTTTTGGTTGATTACATTTACCACAGATTGAAATCATGAGTTAGTTGAAGCTAGACCACCATGGGAAACCTGGAAGCACTGGACGGCCGTTTCGTCCTAGTATGGGACTCTTCAGAGGTGCGCATCCACGATCCCGCGCCCCGTGGCATTCGAACCCAGGACCTACTGGTTTCACGCGCGAGCACTTAACCATTAGACCACTGAGCCGGATTCCAACGGTGTTAATGTCTAACTTCAACCAATCCACGACGTTGCGCCACCGTATACCATTGTCTTCAGTGAGCTGATATCTCACAACAGACTTGGTTGAACTCCACTGGTAACGGCTTCTCACTAGAACTCCAGGAGTATCTCTTGAAGTCAGTCACTAGTGAGCAGATGATTATTATCAGAAGGGGTTTGTGGGGATTTTAGAAATTTCACAGATTGAAATCATGAGTCAGTTGAAGCGGGGTGCGGGTTAGTGGATGCGCACTGCTGAGGGGTCCCATACTAGGACGAAACGGCCGTCCAGTGCTTCCGGGTTTTCCATGGTGGTCTAGCTTCAACTGACTCATGATTTCAATCCGTGAAATTTCTAAAATCTCCACAAACCCCTTCTGATGATTATATTTAGTTTTTTTTTCTATGATCAAATTGCAACTGATATAGGTGTACGATAATAATAACAACATATTTGAGTAAAACACTGAATAAACAAAATCATTTTAAGTCAAGTAGTATGTGATAAGTGAGCAATTACATTATTTTACAATTATTAAAAAAAAAACATACTTCGGATTTGATTTGATTAGGGAGTTGGAATCAGTTATTTTCTAATTATTGTTATTACATTCAAACTATATCCCAAAGCACAAGTAATAACAAGTCATTTATATCGGTATTAGTAGTTTGTTGAAATTAACGATTACATATAACTTAACCATAGAATCTTATTACTATAATTAACCGTTTTCAATAACAATGCATCAGTTAATTTATTGCTAAAATTATTTGTTCATATGTAAATAAGATATGGATTCGATCCAATAGACTGTTTGCTTTTTACATATAGTTTCGGGAAAATTACTCAGGAAGACAATAAAAAATTACTAAATTATTACATACAGCACAAAGTTTTGACTAAATTTCAAATCATAATTTTAGGCCAAGAAAAATGGAGAAAATTTAAGGGGAGAATCTCAATAAACTTATGGGAAAAACATATTTCCTTAATGTGGGCAACATTTATTGTAAAAATCATGGATTACTCCAATTTTACGTTTTTTGTTTCTTCAGAGCATATAGTTACTTCTTCCAAAAGGCTGTCCAGATTCGTTGCTTCGGAACCAGTAACAGTTGGAGTGGTGGTTGTGATAGTGGTACTAACAGTTGTCGTTGTACAACTGTGTACTTCGACAAAGCGTTCTGGTGCTAAATAACAAACACGTCGACGTGATGAGTCAAAAAAATGTGTAAATTCACTCGGATTATCAGATGGTAACCAAACTGGTTTAAATGGAGCTGGATCAGCCAAAAGTACCCATCCCCAAGAGGTGATCAATACATTTTCCGCTTTAATATCTCCATGACAAAGAGACTGAAATATAAAAATAGCAATAAAATGAAAAATCATTTATAAAAGATTTTTACGAAAAATTCTAGGCAGTTGTTAAAATGCCTTAAAATTTGTAAAATGGAAAAAATTGTGCTATCAGTCTTAGTTCAAACAAAGTATTTTATTTAACGAAAAGAAGATTATCACTTTGAAAATCATAGTAGTCTCAACGTCGATTTTATATCTCTAACGAAAACTGAAGAATCGCATAAAATCGTTCTATTCTCTTCTAGACTCAGCCACTCCAAAAGAGGAATCTTGTTAGGAAGATTCATTAGACAAGACCAAAGAAGATAAGAATTTCTATGTAATACAGTGATATACTTATATGTACGAAATATTAATACAAAATGAACATAATAAAATATTACATAAGCAGCTGAAGAAATCATTTTGTATGTTGCTTACTCTCCAGTAAATTAAAACCTAATTTCATTGAAATCATGAATCGATCCAAGTTAGATCATAATTGAAAACGTGGAAGAACTGAACGGCCGTTACATCCTAGCGTTGAATTCAGCATTGATCGTCTGATACACCGCAACCGGGGATCGAACCCAGGACCTTTGGCCTAACGTGCGAACACTTAACCACTCGATCACTGAACTGGCATTCAATGGTGTTAATGTCTAACCTCAATCCATCCGCGACAATGAGCGACCATCTATTTTCTTCGGTGGGTGCCTTACAACCAACACGGATTGGACCTCACTGATCATGGCCTCGTACTAGAACTCTGGCAATTTCCTTTCGAAGCTAGTTACTGATAAGCACATGATAATTGTCAGTAAGAGGTTATGGAGACTTGAATTTCATCGGTTCATGGTTTGAATGAAGCCCAACAATTTCCGCAACACTTCACTGATAAAACCTAATTGTTAGGCTTAATTATTGGGTATCGTATTAATATTTAAAGAAATACGACTCTACGACAATGAAACCTTTAAAAAAACCATGGTTATTTAAAAAAAAATAATAAGGGTCAGTTACGCAGCTCCACTTACTGAATAATTAGTTCTAGAATGTTTACTATAAGCTTTAGTTGAATAACTATGAAGCTGGTCAACAGCGCATAATAATTGATAAGCGATCCATCTTTTATCCTCAATACATAAAAATGGTCTTGTACACAAACGATCAGCTAATGACTGATCAATAAAATCTCGGATAAGTACTCCGCTACGTTCAGTTATATATGATCTAAATTAGAAGGAAAGAGATAGAATAATTTACTACATAAGAGAAGAAACATTCTACTATAAATCATTTAAAAATTTCTTTTAATGCACAGCTAAGAGTTGAAAAATACCAACTATAACCTTTCTTAATTATGGTCATCAAAAAAGGAGTTCAACAGTACAATTTTTAGGAAAAGGATACTAACTGGATAGATATTTTGAGATTTAAAAACCTAATAAATTAAAATTTATTATGCCTTGAGTTAAAATAATCTTCTGTATACAGTCTTTGCATATATAGTATACTCGAACCTCCATTAACTTAATTCAAATCCTTATGATGATTGTTGTAATATGGAGATATTCATTTGAGTTAACTGATAATCGACATTATTTCTATGGAAATCTTATATTCAATTTGGAATATCACAGGTTGTAGGTACAGGTAATGAAATGTCACAAATAAATTTACTGCATATTATAGTTCCATTCAAATAACTATTTTTCTATCGCATTGTTCATTTTAAAAATTAGAATCGTTCATCAGATTAAGATAGAAACAACAAAAATAATAATGAAGCAGCTGATTGACTGATATAAGAAAAAAAGGAAGGTTTTGTTTAAATAAATGTCTTAAAGAAAATTCGTAGGGTTGAATTCTAACTTTCAGTTTAAAAACGAAGATTAACAAGTACTGAAGTAAAAGGATGTTCAGTCAGGAACTTACTTACTTACTTACGCCTGTTACTCCCAATGGAGCATAGGCCGAAGACCAGCATTCTCCAACCCACTCTGTCCTGGGCCTTCTTTTCTAGTTCCATCCAATTTTTGATCATTTTTTCATGTCTATTTCCCTTTCTCGGCGTAATGTGTTCTTTGGTCTTCCTTTTTTCCTTTGGCCTTGAGGATTCCATGTGAGGGCTTGTCTTGTGGCGCAGTTGGGTGCTTTCCTCAATGTGTGTCCTATCCACTTCTAGCGCTTCTTCCTGATTTCTTCTTCCGCTGGGATCTGGTTTGTTCTCTCCCACAGTACGTTGTTGCTAGTAGTGTCCGGCCAACGGATCTGAAGTATTTTGCGTAGACAGTTATTAATAAACACATGTATCTTTTGGATGATAGCTTTCGTAGTTGTCCAAGTTTCCGCTCCATACAGTAGAACTGTCTTGACATTTGTTGCTTTGAGTTCCAGGTGTTTTTCAATTGTAAATATGCTGCTCTTGCTTTGCCGATCCGCGCCTTCACATCTGCATCAGATCCACCCTGTTCATCAATGATGCTGCCCAAATATGTAAAGGTTTTTACATCTTCCAAATCTTCTCCGTCAATTGTGATTGGATTGGTGCATTCTGTGTTGTATCGGAGAATCCTGCTTTTCCCTTTGTGTATATTGAGACCTACTGCTGCTGAGGCTGCTGCCACACTGGTCGTTTTCTCCTGCATTGTTGTTGCGTTTGGGATAGAAGGGCCAGATCATCTGCGAAGTCTAGATCGTCCAACTGCATCCTAGATGTCCATTGTATCCCTGCTTCCCTTCAGACGTTGACGTCTTCATGATCCAGTCGATCACCAGGAGAAAGAGAAAGGGTGAGAGTAAGCAACCTTGCCTAACACCGGTCTTCACTTCGAACGACTTTGTCAACTGTCCTCCATGCACGATTTTGCAGTGTAATCCATCATATGAGTTCTGTATGATATTGACTATCTTCTGAGGCACGCCGTAGTGTCGAAGAAGTTTCCATAGTGTTGTTCTGTCCACGCTATCAAATGCCTTTTCGTAGTCAATGAAGTTGATGTAGAGTGATGAATTCCATTCAATTGATTGTTCCACAATGATCCGTAGAGTTGCGATTTGGTCTGTACACGATCTATCCTTACGGAATCCTGCCTGTTGGTCACGAAGTTGGGCGTCTACGCAGTCCTTCATCCTGTTTAACAATACCCTGTTGAAGACTTTTCCCGGTATTGAGAGAAGAGTGATGCCCCTGTAGTTATCACACTTGCTGAGATCGCCTTTCTTCGGTATTTTGATCAGAAGTCCTTCTTTCCAGTCTTTTGGTACTTGTTCCTCATCCCAAATCTTATTGAAGAGAATGTGGAGTATCCTTGCAGTTGCCGCTACGTCTGCTTTTAGTGCCTCTGCTGGAATGTTGTCCGGTCCTGCTGCTTTGCCACTCTTGATTTGTCTGATGGCCATGCTGATTTCTTCAATTGTTGGTGGGCCAACATTGATTGGGAGGTCCGTGGGTGCTGCTTCGATGTTGGGTGGGTTCAGTGGAGCTGGTCGATTCAAGAGTTCTTTGAAGTGTTCTACCCACCTGTTTTGTTGCTCTTCAATGTTGGTGATTACCTCGCCTTCCTTGCTTTTCACTGGTCGTTCTGGTTTGCGGCGATTTCCAGAGAGTTTCTTTGTCGTGTCATACAGTTGTCTCATGTTTCCTTCTCTTGCAGCCTTTTCCGCCGTCGTTGCTAAATCTTCCACATATTTACGTTTGTCGGTTCTGATGCTCCTCTTCACTTGTTTGTTTACTTCTGTGTATTCAGCTTGTGCCTTGGCTTTTTCTGCTCTTGTTCGACTGGTATTGATTGCTGCCTTCTTGTTCCTCCTTTCTTGAATCTTATCCAGTGTATCAACAGTGATCCATTCCTTGTGATGGTGCTTCTTGTGACCCAGGACCTCATGACATGTTGAAGTGATTGCCTCTTTGATCCCCTTCCAGTTGCTCTCCACAGTAGTTCCTTCTCCATTGAGTAGATCATGAAAGGCCTGGAACTTGTTGCTGAGGACTATCTTGAATTTGTTGAGTTTGTTAGTATCCTGAAGAAAGGCCGTATTGAACTTTTGTGATATTGTCCGCCCCGTTGTCCAGTGCTTCTTGAGTTTCAATTTCATCTTGGCGACCAGCAAGTGATGATCTGATGCTATATCAGCTCCTCTCTTGGTTCTCACGTCCTCTATAGTCCTCCTGAACGTTTTGTTGATGCAAATATGGTCGATTTGGTTTTGTGTAGTGTGATCCGGTGAAGTCCATGTGGTTTTGTGTATGCGTTTATGTGGGAATATGGTGCCGCCTATGACCAGTTTATTGAAGGCACATAGATTTGCAAATCTCTCACCATTTTCGTTTCTTTCTCCCAGTCCGTGTCGTCCCATGATGTCTTCATATCCAGTGTTGTCCGTTCCAACCTTGGCGTTGAAATCTCCCATCAGAATGGTCAGGTCCTTTGTTGGGCACTTCTCGACGATTGACTGCAGCCTATTGTAGAATTGATCTTTAGCGTCTTCATTGTAGTCGTTGGTAGGCGCATAGCATTGGATGATGTTCATTGAAATGCCCTCTTTCTTTGTTTTGAACGAGGCTTTGATGATCCTTGGTCCATGAGATTCCCATCCTATAAGTGCATTTTGCGCTTGTTTGGACAGCATCAATGCAACTCCTTGTGTATGTGGTGCATTTTCTTCTTCATGGCCGGAGTATAACAGGAGCTCTCCTGTAGTTAGTCGTTGTTGTCCAACTTGTGTCCAATGTGTTTCACTGATCCCAAGTACCTCTAGGTTGTATCTTCTCATTTCTGCAGCAATTTGGAAGGCTCTCCCGGTGTCCCACATTGTACGAACATTCCATGTACCTAAATAAATGGTCGCTCTGGTTGTCAGAAGGGGCATCGGCCTCGTAACTTCCGAAGGAATTCGGCTTTCATCATGAGGCGTCATAATTCTTCTAAATGAAGACCTTCTGACTCCCAGGGCAGAGTTTAAAAGGTTTGAATAATTTTTTCTGGTTAGCGTTTTTTTAGCGAGTTAGTTTTCTACGGGATGGGGACGCTAACCCCATGCCCAACCCTCCTCCTTTATCCGGGCTTGGGACCGGCAGTAGCCCCCGAAGGGACTCCAGGCGGAAAGGTCTTAAAAATGGATAGAATATCGAGAAATCCCATACATGTTGGTTTAAATTGTTTTCTTTAGAATCCTTTATAGTTCAACCGTTATTAGGCCTTAAAGATGAGCTATCCTTTTTAAGATTCCACACAATGAGCAAAAATAAACATTCGCTATCCGTGATATTGTGGTGCGTGCTACTGATGTTGATAGATATAAGTAGTATCTATTATTAATCGAAAGTGAAATGACTAGAGGCAGAAGATTAAGAGGATAAACGAAAAGAGAACGAGAACAGAAATGATTAGTGTGGAAACGAAAGAACAATGAAGTCTGAAACGATTGATTGACATTTTGCAAATGAAGTATTCACTGTATGGTTCTCAGATTTTACTAAGATGTTCTGTAATTTTGTATTCAAATACATTCGACTGTCCCCACTCGTGTTGTCGTTCGATACAGTATAAGTTAGTGTTTCAGTATGTCACATTCAGTACAACAATAAAAGTAAAAAAAATTACACTAGAAACCTTAAACTTACGTGCTGAAAAATAGTAAATTATAACCAGAATTAATACGATGACAGTAAGGCAACATAAGAGCTTGATAGCGCCATAATAATTGGGAGATATTTGGATTGGGAAATATTTTTACTACAAGTGAACGCGGATTATCTCCATCAACAGATCTAATAGGAAATTAAGCAAAGTCGATATAAAAAATTTCCCTTATGCCCTTTTTAATAATCATGATTTATAGTTAGCTAAACTCAATACATACTTAATTACTTACACCTGTTACCCCACGCGAAGGAGCATAGGCCACTCAACAGCACTCTCCATCCAACTCTGTCCTGGGCAATCCTTTCCAGTCGCTATTAATCCTATTCATGTCTGCTTCCGATTCTCGGCGCAGTGTGTTCCCTGGTCTTCCTCTTTTCCAATTTCCTTCAGGATTTCAAGTTAGAGCTTACTTCGTAATGCAGTTTGATTTCTTCAATATGTCTTATCCACTTCCGTCTTTTCCTAATTTCCTTCTCAGTTGGAAGCTCATTTGTTCTCTGGCACAGTAGGCTGTTTCTCGTGGTATCCGGCATACCAACATTCAGTATCTTGCGTAGAAAACTGTTGATAAATACTTGTGCCTTTTTGATCATGGTTGTGGTAGTTCTGCAAATTGCAGCTCCATTTACTAGAACTGTATGACGTTCGTATTGAAGAGTCTGACAGTGATATTGATTGACAGTCGTTTTGAGTTCTATATGTTCTTTAACTGTAGGAATGCTGTCCTTGTTTTCTCAATCCGTGCCTTCAAGTTTGCGTCGGATCTTCCTTGTTCATCCATGATGCTACCCAGATATGTGAATATCTCCATCTCTTTAGGAGCTTCTCCATCAAGTGTGATTGGGTTGGTGTTCTCCGTGTTGAATTTGAAGATCTTTGTTTTCCCCTTGTGTATGCTGAGGTCTACTGATGCAGAGACTGCTTCCACACTGACTGTCTTGACTTGCATTTCTTGATGTGCATGGGATAGAAGGGCCAGATCATCTGCGAAGTCCAAATCTTCTAATTGATTCCGAGCTGTCCATTGTATTCCGTACTTCCCTTCAAATGTCGAGGTCTTCATAATTTAGTCAACCACCAGAAGAAAGAGGAGGGAGGAGAGTAGACAGTCTTGTCTGACTCCGGTCCTCGCTTGGAATGCGTCAGTCAGCTGTCCTCCATGCACCACTTTGCACTGTAATTCGTCGTATGAATTCCGGATGATGGTGACGATTTTCTCAGGTACTTCATAGTTTCGAAGAAGGTTCCATAATGTTCTCCTATCCACACTGTCGAATGCTTCCTCGCAATGGAGGAAGTTGATGTATAGTGACGAATTCCATTCAATTGATTGTTCAACGATGATCCGTATTATCGCGATTTGGTCTGTCACGACCGATCCTTACGGAATCCAGCCTGTTAATCTTGAAGCTGGGCGTATACTGAATCTTTCATCCGCTTCAACAACACTCTGTTGAAAACTTCCTGGTACTGACAGTAGTGTGATGCCCCTGTACATGAGTTCCCACATTTGCTCAGATCTTCCTTCTTTGGTATCTTCATGAGATATCCTTCTTTCCAGTCCGTCGGCACTTGTTCTTCCTCCCAAACCTTCCTGAGTAAAATGTAAAGCAGCTTTACAGTTACTTTTATGTCTGACTTTAGAGTTTCAGCTGTTATACTGTCAGGTCCTGTTGCTTTCCCACTCTTGATTTGTCTGATGACCATGCTGATTTCTTCGATCGTTGAAGTGACATCTATAGGAAAGTCTGTAAGTGCTGCCTCGATGTCCAGTGTATTTGGTGGGGCTCACCTATTCAAGAGTTCCTTAAAGCATTCCACCCATCTTTCCCCCTGTTCTTGAATCTCGGTGGTTGGCTTACCTTCTTTGCTCTTGAGCGGTCACTCTAGTTTACTACATTTCCCTGCCAATTTCTTCACAGTATCACACAGTTGTTTCATATTCCCTTCTGTTGCAATATTCCGCACTATCGTTGCTAGGTCTTCCACATATTTCTGCTTGTCGGCTCTAATGCTCCTTTTCACTTGTTTTTGGGCTTCAGTGTATTCAGCTTGTTCCCTGACTTTCTCTGTCCTTGTTTAGTTGTTGTTAATTGCTGCCTTCTTGTTCTTCCTTTCTTGAATCTTGTCCAGGGTTTCCATAGAGATCCATTCCTTATGATGATGCTTCTTATTGCCCAGCACCTCCTGACACGTTGAACTTAGTGCTTCTTTGATCCATTACCAGTTATCCTCCATAGTAGTTTGTTTTTTCAGTAGATCCTGTAAGGCTTGGAACTTGTTGAGTGTGCCAGTATGTCGAAGGTAGGCTGTATTGAACCTTTAGTAATTGCTGTTTCGCTGTTTATTGCTTCTTTAGCTTCAGTTTCATCCTGCTAACCAACAGTTGATGATCTGAAGCTATGTCAGCACTTCTCCTGGTTCTCACATCTTCCACTGACCTTGTGAACTTTTTACTGACGCATATATGATCTATTTGGTTCTCCGTGGTGTGGTCCGGTGACATTCATGTAGCTTTGTGCATACGTTTGTGGGGGAATATTGTGCCGCCTATAACCAATTTGGTGAATGCACATAAATTTATAAATCTGTCACTATTCCCGTTCCTTTCTCTCAGTCCATGTCATCACATGATATCTTCGTATCCGGTGTTGTCCATTCCGACCTTAGCGTCCTGGTCTCCCATCAGCATGGTCAGGTTTTTTTTCCGGTCACTTCGCTATGATTGATTACAGCCTTTCGCAAAACTGCTTTTTATCGACGTCATTGCTATCATTGGTGGCTGCATGACATTGGATAACATTCGTAGTAATTCCCTCCTTCTTTGTATGAGGGATGGTTTAATGATCCTAAATCCTTGAGATTACCATCCTATTAGTGAATTTTGTGCTTCTTTAAACGAAATCAGAGCATCTCTGTGAGTGGGTGGAGCATTTTTCCTCTTCGCGAACGGAGTACAGCAGCATCACTCCCGTACCTAACTTTTGCTGTCCAGCTTGGGTCCAATGGGTTTCACTGATTTCGAGAACCGACAAGTTGTATATCCTCATTTCCGTTGTTATTTGACTGGTCCTCCCGGTCTCCCACGTTGTCCGGACGTTTCATATACCTATAAAAATCGTTACTCTGATTATTAGAAGAGGTATCGGCCTCGTGACTTCCGAAGAATCTCGGCCTTCATCATGAGGTTTTATAATACTTCCTTCAATCCCCAGGGCAGAGTTTGAATGATTTGATTTGCTTACTCTGGTTAGCATTTTTTAGCAAGGTTGTTTTCTACAGAATGGGGTTGCCGGCCACACGCCCAACCCTCCTCCTTTACCTGGGCTTGGGACCGGCAGTAACCCTAGAAGAGCTACAAGCGGAGTTTAGACTCAATAATCAAATCCAAACTCGTAAACTGTAAGCAATTCTCATTTATAAAAAATAAAACCCTGGTACTGTAAGATACTTTTCTCATCTAGTTCGAACGTGAGCAAATAATGACCAGTGAAGAAGCCACTAGGATAACACTTATAGAACACGCACAAGGTAACGAAGCCGATAATAACAAAAATTGAGTTGTCATCATTGAGTCCAAAAATACATTGACAGATATCAGTATTACTTACACGATATTGCTATTGAGTGTCAATAATGCTTTGGAGACAGAGATGATTTAACACAAAGTTGTTAAATATTCTTAGTTCAACGCCGAAGCGTTGTATACTGGATCTCTAACAATCAAATTACTGTTACAGTGATGCCAAAAATAGGGCAGATAAGAATAAATTATTCTGGCCTTCACTATATGTAGATCACATCACCGCCAAAAGTAGTCATAAACCTATCCAGATACAAGAACGTTTCGGTTATTTTCAAGGGTTCATAATGAATTTTAAAAGTAAGAACACGCTCCTGTCATTTGCAAAGAAATATTGCTACATAAACTGAAATATATATGGAATGTGAATTGGGACAGTAAAGATTCAAAATAACGAAGGATTCTCAGTTTCACAGTATACAGAACGAATGAGGAAATCAGACAGCAAACATGTTTGCTTATAGAGCGAACGACAAAATGGAAGTGAAAAAAACTAAAGTATAAAGTAGTCAATTAATTAGATGTTGGTAGGGAATGCTATCAGTGTGAATTGAATGAACTTAAAGTATTTAGTGTTTTATTACTGATTAGTTGACACGAGTACTTTGTACTGTGCTGAATTTAGTTTTCAACTTCAATTTTTGCTGTCGTGTATGTTCCAAGCAAGAAACATACAATAACAGAAGTCACTGGTTTGATGAACTGGTGTCTAGGCTTTTTCTAAAAAACTTTACACTTTGTCTATCCGACCCTAGTTATTTTAGTGATTACGACTGAAAAAAAAAGATAAGCATCAACCCAGATTACAGTAACACTTATAAATAAAAAATAAACCTTTACAAACTATTACCAACATAACTTCAAATAAGCGAAGTCGAATAAACACTAACCTTATTTTAGCCACTTTAAACAATCTAGAACCGCAAAGTTCTTCTTCAAATACAACTAGGCCGGATAATTCAGATAAATAATCTTCAACGACTGGTGAAGGTGATAGTCCAGTGAGTTGGTTACCCATCCCTCACTCATAAATGAGTATCTAATTTTGTATTTTTTTCGTACAGGATATACAAAAACCTAATTGTTGAAAATATAGAAAAAAGTCAGTAAAGACGGTACATTTAAACATACATGATGTAAACATGATATGGTTATTTCTAACAAATTATTTTTCATTTTCAGTTGGTTGAAAACTGTGAAGTAGTGGTTGAATTAAAACAAAGCATAGATATTAAAGAATATCAAACTGACTATCTAAATAACAAACAAGTAACATTGTATTTCCTTAATAAGATTCTAAAAATAAAAATCAGTACCATAAAACTAAGCGTTAGCAAAAGAACCATTTTTTATGTGTATTCATCTAAACCTTGAGTATCATATCGCTCTTTACGTTTTCAGTTGCTTTGCACATAAATCCCTTTACATTTCTTTATTTCATGTGGGATTATTTCTCGAATGTTTTTCTTGCTGACATTGGAGTATGTTATTTTGGTACTACTTAAAAATGTAAACCAAGTCTCAATTCAGTTCTGTGTATTTCACTTTCAACTGTGATAACTATACATATATATAACAGTTGTGGAGCTACTGAGGGGAAAGACGAGGGTTCCGACTTATGAGGTAATAACCAGCCCGGTATACCTTCTTATTAATACACACTTCCGACCACAGCTGCTACCCTAATGAGATGGTCAAATATTCCTACCGTGATGACCCGATTGAGCTACATAGGGTGGAACAATTATTATTTTGAGTACTACCAAAAACACCACTTTCTTGTTTTATATCTTCACAAGTGTTTTCGGTTTACTTTAAAACAAACTTTAGGGCCATTTGTCCCCATTTATACCATTATAATTGAATGTTTTACAATATATTCAATTGTTGAATAATGACTTATAAACAGCATTTGAAGAAGTTATAATTTTATATGGAGAGTATAATCAACGGATTATCATCCCATTATTTTTTAATACCTATTTAAATCTGTTTCACACTATCACTCCATATTATGTATTTTATTAGAATCTATTTCCTAAGTAAAAACAAAATATATTGGAAATCAAAAAAACCTAATGGGTGACAGACATTGAAAGGTGACCGACAAACATTAATTGTATACGAACCTCGCAAAACAAGTTCCCATAAAGCTTGTGTAAGTTACACCGATTTACTATTCATAAACTCTTTTATGGGACTAAACGGAACTCATCTAATTTAAGCATATACAAAATTGCATACGAAATATAGTGAAAATCCAGTGGGAGATTTTCTAGTACCTTAAGGGAAACCATGAATGGTTGAATGCACATTAGTTTAAACCGTCAACCCATAACCTTTGAAATATTAATTTGTATTCTACTTAATATATTTTAAATATTAAAATTAAAAACACGAAGTTCAGCGAAGAGATCTCTTTACAACGAATTTATTATCAAGCTGTACAATCGTATATATGTAAAAAATTTTCTTGTTAAAGTACTAATTCCGTGAGGATAATAAATTCTTTTAAAAGAGATCCCTTCGCTAAACTTCGTGTTCTTAATATTTTAAATAATCAAATACTATTATAATTTTAGCTTACCATAAAAAGCTTGCATCATTAAATATAATGTGTAGTTATTATGCTGTTAAACTAGTTTAAATGTTTTTTAAACCCTTATCAGTCAGTCATACACAACGTAGAACCTGGGACACATGTGTATCAATTCAAGTTGCCACACCATATCACCACAGCGAAATGAAATTATCAAGACAAGTGCTAGAGTACTAAAAGTGGTAATGGTGCCAGTAGCATTGGAAAATATCGGATACAAAGAATATGATCCGAAGGGAAGGAATAAATTCGCAGAATAAAAAGTTAGTTTCGATAGTTTCGAAATGATAACTACGGGAAGACGAAGGATGAATGTATTCGCGTCACTGCTCCAGTAAAAGAAGTAATAACAGAAATATGCAAACTATGAAAATAACATGTAATGGTTAAATTATTCCAATATTTCGAAAAATCTCTTTGTTGACTAATGAACTATAGCAATAAATATGCTGGATAATGCTGAGAACGAAGACAGTAGCAAAAACTTCGTGAAATATAAAAATGAAGAAATAAAAGCATCACAGTTGTGAACTACGTAATACAAGCGCCTGCATTACTTAATAGGACTCTTGTACTTTCACCCGCTCAGACTAAACTCCCTGGCGGAACACTCAGTCAGTCAGTCAGCTACAACGTAGGACCAGGCACATGTATGCATCGGCCCAGGTTGCCATACCTCATTAGCACAGCAAGATGAACACTGGATTCATAGGAGTGGTTAGGTCAAAGGTGGTAATATATAGGAGAAAGATTGCAATAAGGATATAGTATAGGAAGAAAGAACTAGTTCGTAGAAAGAAAGATGTGAAGTGATCTTAATCTCTTAGTTTAGGAGAAGACAGAGAGTGTATACACCGACGCCATTGTGATCGATTCTGAGCCATGTCACCAAGGGTCTCCAACCATTGGTTACGAAAGTCACACGGACCCCAACCAAGTAGTCTGCGGAACACTAGTTATTTTCAATTTCAAAAACTGAGCATTTTCACAACATATCTTTCTTTTTAATGTCTTCATAATATGGCTGTTCAAAAGTGATTTTTAGAAGCACTTCATTTCGCAAACACTCAGGGCAATTTAAAAAAATCAGTACTAAGAGAGAATGTAATCTGGAATAAGTACACTGCAATCCTGTATTCGTGAAAACTACATAGTTGTAAAATATAAAATTAATAAATATAGTTCAATAATCGAGAGAAAAAAAACGAAAATCTCAAATATACAATTTCTTTTCTAGTATGAAATAAGAAGCAGAAAAGTCGTTGTGACAAGAGAAAAAAGAGTGACAATCAGTTATAAATTATATATGTAGTGCGGAAATAGATTTAATAACAAATTCCGAGTTAGACAATTCAAGAGATCTACGTCTAAGTTGACGTTTTTCTTTTTTACTTAATTTTCTGTGAAGTGGAAATGTTTGGAAGTAGTCTGTATTACAGTAAGAAAATTTATCCGACTGTCTATCACAATTTTTACACGAATGAATAGAGCTTTTATCATCCGAGCTATCAGAAGAGTAGTCCACACATTTTCTATCAAATGTATTGCTTACACATGAAGCAGAATTATCAGTTGAAAGACAAATTCTTATTCTTGTAGGATTACTGGAATTATCTCCGAAAACCCGTACGCTTGAATAATGTTCACCATTATGATAAGCTAAATGTAATTGAGGGTAGCTAGAAACGTTGACATGTGTTTTGTCAATAACAGGAGTTCCGGCTAGCCAAGGTTTTTGTTTTAGTTGATGTATAATAATATATACAGAAAAATGCCGTGATATTGCAATGATACACTCGTGACCACCGTAAGTTCCAAGTGATCGAAGTTTATTTAGTCTATCCTTGACATCGAAAAATGCCTCAAATTCTTCTTTATGTTTTTCTATATAAAGTACAGCTTGTTCACGAACTTCTTTATGATTAGTTATTGTTCCATATAATTGATCAGATAACGATGAAAATAAACAATTCCCATCTGATGGTACCTCCCGGAAATCTAAACCAAGTTGATTTAATTGCTGACGGAATTCCGGCGCTGATGGATCATTTTTCAGATAATAATCATTTTCATCATTTCCTTTACAACATACTTTAGACTGTCGATCCTGTTGGGCTTCTATGTAAACATTATTCTTTTTGCACTTTTTACGATTTCCATGAGCTTTTGACTTTGAGCCCATACAAAGAAACAAGTTCAGATGTTTACTCCACAGTCTCACAATAATAGACGTATCAATTAGTAAAGGCAATTATTGTCGACAAACCCGATTTTTAGGCTATATGTAAAGAAATAGAAAGAAAAATATCAGAAAAGAAGAGTAATCCATGTTCCATGATATAAATAACATGACTCAATACTATCCACTAACCAGTCAAAGTTTCATGTATTAATCTAACCAACAACTGACGAGACTTTAGACAGAACTATTATTTACTCATCTAAACATAAACATCGATACAAGGAGGAAACAAATATATATGCACCGTACAAATCATTTGATTTATGTGAGGGCTGAGATCAACAACCAACAATAGGTTCATACGCCGTTTTTTTCCACTCAAGATCATGGAGCCGATGTGACCATTGATTTAGAATCAGAGTTCTCCAACTCTCCTAGGTGGGTCCTTTATATCCACCAACCCGGTTAAAGTGCCGGATATTCACTTTTCGTCCTCTCAATTTCGTAAATAACACCCCTGCCACGAGGTAGTGAGTAGGACTTCCATGTGAGAGCATTTCGAGAGGGAGCTGACTCTTTTTACCTTCGGCCATACCAGGACATTTAGGGACTTAGGTAGAACTATTTCTAATCGGTTCTCATTTGGAACTTGTATTGAAAACTATGTATTGGGACGAATATGATGTCGCGATAACAGCTAGATATACTGGAATGTCCATAAAAATATACTGTTCTCCAGTAAACTACCTAATATTCCTATTTGAAAGAAACAACTGCAAATAGCGAATCCAAGCTTTATTTAATTCAGTAAGTTTATTTTCGGATGATCGTTCTACTAAATACAGGAAATACCCTAACACACACAAAACTTTCAGGATAAGTGAATTATTCACTTTGTTATTAAACTAAGACTTGATGCAGACTAGTCTTGAAGTAACATTTTACATTTAGAGAAAAAGAAACGCATCCCGAACATGGTCAAATTTTTGCGGTCGACAGACCCCAGAGTTTTTTAGTTCTTCCCAAACAGACCTGTTATTAACGTATTCTAAGTGAATTTTCGGGATAGACATCAACCTGTGAGTAACCAAAAGGATATATCGTTGTCTCTAAAGACATATCTATGATAATGTTAGCTAAAGAGAAGCTGTATGGCGACGAAACTTTCTACTAACCATTACAGCAGCCTAATGATACAAAAAATTACTAAACAGCTTTTGGACACCAACCCGAAAAG